GTACATTGTGTATACTATGATCAGTATGTATATTGTCTATACTGCCATCATATTGTACATTGTGTGTACTATGCTCAGTATGTATATTGCCTGTACTGCCATCAGGTTGTACATTGTGTGTACTATGCTCAGTATGTATATTGCCTGTACTGCCATCATGTTGTACATTGTGTATACTAAGCTCAGTATGTATATTCACTATACTGCCATCATGTTGTACATTGTGTGTACTATGCTCAGTATGTATATTGCCTGTACTGCCATCATGTTGTACATTGTGTATACTATGCTCAGTATGTGTATTGCCTGTACTGCCATCGCCATCATGTTGTACATTGTGTATACTATGCTCAGTATGTATATTGCCTGTACTACCATCATGTTGTACATTGTGTGTACTATGCTCAGTATGTATATTCCCTATACTGCCATCAGGTTGTACATTGTGTGTACTATGCTCAGTATGTATATTGCCTGTACTGCCATCATGTTGTACATTGTGTATACTATGCTCAGTATGTGTATTGCCTGTACTGCCATCGCCATCATGTTGTACATTGTGTATACTATGCTCAGTATGTATATTGCCTGTACTACCATCATGTTGTACACTGTGTGTACTATGCTCAGTATGTATATTCCCTATACTGCCATCATGTTGTACATTGTGTGTACTATGCTCAGTATGTATATTGCCTGTACTGCCATCATGTTGTACATTGTGTATACTATGATCAGTATGTATATTGCCTCTACAGCCATCATGTTGTACATTGTGTATATTATGCTCAGTATGTGTATTGCCTCTACTGCCATCAGGTTGTACATTGTGTATACTATGCTCAGTATGTATATTGCCTGTACTGCCATCAGGTTGTACATTGTGTATACTATGCTCAGTATGTATGTTACCTCTACTGCCATCAGGTTGTACATTGTGTATACTATGCTCAGTATGTATATTGTCTGTACTGCCATCAGGTTGTACATTGTGTATACTATGCTCAGTATTTATATTGCCTGTACTGCCATCAGGTTGTACATTGTGTATACTATGCTCAGTATGTATATTGCCTGTACTGCCATCATGTTGTACATTGTGTATACTATGCTCAGTATGTTTATTGCGTGTACTGCCATCAGGTTGTACATTGTGTATACTATGCTCAGTATGTATATTGCCTGTACTGCCATCATGTTGTACAGTGTGTATACTATGCTCAGTATGTATATTCCCTATACCGCCATCATGTTGTACATTGTGTATACTATGCTCAGTATGTATATTGCCTGTACTGCCATCAGGTTGTAAATTGTGTATACTATGGTCAGTATTTATATTGCCTGTACTGCCATCAGGTTGTACATTGTGTATACTATGCGCAGTATGTATATTGCCTGTACTGCCATCATGTTGTACATTGTGTGTACTATGCTCAGTATGTATATTACCTGTACTGCCATCAGGTTGTACATTGAGTGTACTATGCTCAGTATGTATATTGCCTGTACTGCCATCATGTTGTACATTGTGTGTACTATGCTCAGGATGTATATTGCCTGTACTGCCATCATGTTGTACATTGTGTGTATTGTACTATGCTCAGTATGTATATTGCCTGTACTGCCATCATGTTGTACATTGTGTGTACTATGCTCAGTATGTATATTGCCTGTACTGCCATCATGTTGTACATTGTGTGTACTATGCTCAGTATGTATATTGCCTGTACTGCCATCATGTTGTACATTGTGTGTACTATGTTCAGTATGTATATTGCCTGTACTGCCATCATGTTGTACATTGTGTGTACTATGCTCAGTATGTATATTGCCTGTACTGCCATCATGTTGTACATTGTGTGTACTATGCTCAGTATGTATATTGCCTGTACTGCCATCATGTTGTACATTGTGTGTACTATGCTCAGTATGTATATTGCCTGTACTGCCATCATGTTGTACATTGTGTGTACTATGTTCAGTATGTATATTGCCTGTACTGCCATCATGTTGTACATTGTGTATACTATGCTCAGTATGTATATTGCCTGTACTGCCATCATGTTGTACATTGTGTGTACTATGCTGAGTATGTATATTGCCTGTACTGCCATCATGTTGTACATTGTGTGTACTATGTTCAGTATGTATATTGCCTGTACTGCCATCATGTTGTACATTGTGTGTACTATGTTCAGTATGTATATTGCCTGTACTGCCATCATGTTGTACATTGTGTGTACTATGTTCAGTATGTATATTGCCTGTACTGCCATCATGTTGTACATTGTGTGTACTATGCTCAGTATGTATATTGCCTGTACTGCCATCATGTTGTACATTGTGTATACTATGTTCAGTATGTATATTGCCTGTACTGCCATCATGTTGTACATTATGTGTGTACTATGTTCAGTATGTATATTGCCTGTACTGCCATCATGTTGTACATTGTGTATACTATGCTCAGTATGTATATTGCCTGTACTGCCATCATGTTGTACATTGTGTGTACTATGTTCAGTATGTATATTGCCTGTACTGCCATCATATTGTACATTGTGTGTACTATGTTCAGTATGTATATTGCCTGTACTGCCATCATGTTGTACATTGTGTGTACTATGTTCAGTATGTATATTGCCTGTACTGCCATCATATTGTACATTGTGTGTACTATGTTCAGTATGTATATTGCCTGTACTGCCATCATATTGTACATTGTGTGTACTATGTTCAGTATGTATATTGCCTGTACTGCCATGATGTTGTACATTGTGTGTACTATGTTCAGTATGTATATTGCCTGTACTGCCATCATGTTGTACATTGTGTGTACTATGTTCAGTATGTATATTGCCTGTACTGCCATCATGTTGTACATTGTGTATACTATGCTCAGTATGTATATTGCCTGTACTGCCATCATGTTGTACATTGTGTGTACTATGCTCAGTATGTATATTCCACGACTGTCGTCATGCTGTACATTGTGTGTAGCGCTTGGTGATGTACTGCCTCACGTTTACACATTGCTGTCTGCAATCATCTAATCTTTGACCTTTGGCCTCATTATTGAATATCTGACTTTACTATATATCAGAACGTTTTCGTTTAGTTTTGAATAAATTATTAAATGTATGTTGACAAGGGAACAAGTTGACAGAATGAACCCGTGTAGAATAATAGGAGTAGCAACAGTTGTGTCCATTCCATACAGAAGACATGTGAGAATATAGGAGCAACACTTGTGTCCCTTACATACAGTAGAAGACATGTGAGAATATAGGAGCAGCACTGGTGTCCTTTACATTAGAAGACATGTGAGAATATAGCAGCAACACTTGTGTCCCTTACATACAGTAGAAGACGGGAGAATATAGGAGCAACACTTGTGTCCCTTACATACAGTAGAAGACATGTGAGAATATAGTAGCAGCACTTGTGTCCCTTACATACAGTAGAAGACGTGAGAATATAGGAGCAACACTTGTGTCCCTTACATACAGTAGAAGACGTGAGAATATAGCAGCAACACTTGTGTCCCTTACATACAGTAGAAGACATGTGAGAATATAGGAGCAGCACTTGTGTCCTTTACATTAGAAGACATGTGAGAATATAGCAGCAACACTTGTGTCCCTTACATACAGTAGAAGACGTGAGAATATAGGAGCAACACTTGTGTCCCTTACATACAGTAGAAGACATGTGAGAATATAGTAGCAGCACTTGTGTCCCTTACATACAGTAGAAGACGTGAGAATATAGGAGCAACACTTGTGTCCCTTACATACAGTAGAAGACGTGAGAATATAGGAGCAACACTTGTGTCCCTTACATACAGTAGAAGACATGTGAGAATATAGGAGCAGCACTTGTGTCCCTTACATACAGTAGAAGACATGTGAGAATATAGGAGCAGCACTTGTGTCGTTTACATTAGAAGTCATGTGAGAATATAGGAGCAACACTTGTGTCCCTTACATACAGTAGAAGACGTGAGAATATAGGAGCAACACTTGTGTCCCTTACATACAGTAGAAGACGTGAGAATATAGCAGCAACACTTGTGTCCCTTACATACAGTAGAAGACATGTGAGAATATAGGAGCAACACTTGTGTCCCTTACATACAGTAGAAGACATGTGAGAATATAGCAGCAACACTTGTGTCCCTTACATACAGTAGAAGACATGTGAGAATATAGGAGCAGCACTTGTGTCCTTTATATACAGTAGAAGACATGTGAGAATATAGTAGCAGCACTTGTGTCCCTTACATAAAATAGAAGACATGTGAGAATATAGTAGCAGCACCTGTGTCCTTTATATACAGTAGAAGACATGTGAGAATATAGTAGCAGCACCTGTGTCCTTTATATACAATAGAAGACATGTGAGAATATAGTAGCAGCACCTGTGTCCTGTATATACAATAGAAGACATGTGAGAATATAGTAGCAGCACCTGTGTCCTTTATATACAGTAGAAGACATGTGAGAATATAGTAGCACACTTGTGTCCCTTATATACAGTAGAAGACATGTAGAAGACATGTGAGAATATAGTAGCAGCACCTGTGTCCTTATATACATACAGTAGCAGCAGAACCTGAATATAGTAGCAGCACCTGTATATACAATAGAAGACATGTGAGAATATAGTAGCAGCACCTGTGTCCTTTATATACGATAGAAGACATGTGAGAATATAGTAGCAGCAGCACTTGTGTCCTTTTACATACATGTGAGAATATAGAAGATATAGAAGACATGTGAGAATATAGTAGCAGCAACAGATGACATGTACTTGACGTGTGCGCGCGCGCGGGGGTGTATGTGTGTGTATGTTTGTGTGTGTGTGTGTGTGTTTTATGTCACAAGAATAGATGACATGTAAAGGCATGTGTGTATGAAAGTGGACGATAGAAGTAGATCTGTTTACAGATAGGAGTCTCTCGCTGTGTCACCTTGTAGATAGGCTTCTGCGTTCCCGAGATAACAAACACATAGCTCCAACTGGCGTCAGGTCTCACGAAGATATCGATTATAATGGCTTCAGTTTGCTGTGGCGTGTTCCTGTTGTTGACGGCTGTGTCCGCCGTGAGGGACAACGTGACGCTGTTTGACGATGCTAATTACTATGGTGCCACTTCATTGACAGATTACCTCACCGATGCGGGGCTGAGCAGCATGGTGAAACAACCAGGTACCTCCATGCAGTGAGCTTTTACTTACCATACACGTAGATAATACATTTCATCAGTTATGAGAAGATAGTTATATTAGAACCTGTGGATACAATCAATCATATTACAAGCGATCGATAGTGTACTGGAACAGTTTGATGCTATATTGCAAGAGTTGAATAACAGCTATATTATAACCTAATGATATCATGTTACGATGTGTGAATACTACGTAACATGAATGGATACTATATTGGAAACTGTGGATACTATATTGCAAGAGTTGAATAACAGCTATTTTGTTAAACGATCGGCCAAAGCGCCTTCCTGTATATCAAGTCATTTACCATGAAAAGTCAAACTCGGTAATATTACGTGAATGACGTACATCTCAGATTCGACGACGCATATTGCTAATCAAATGTCCAATGCCACTTTGGTTCATTCCATTCATGCAGGGCAGCCCCAAATTCGCTGAAAGTAGTCGGTGGTTGTCGACGATGACGTGTCCAAGGATGTGCCTACACAACACATACACGTTTCACTCAAACTTTGGAGTTTTATCCCGAACATGTTCACGTGCACATCATGAACAATGCTTGAACGAAATTCACGAGACAGTAAATTCATAAACAGTATATAATAATGATAATACTAATAATAAGTCATCTTCTATAGCGCGCAGTATCCAAACACCAAGTGATTGCTCGCGGCGCTTTATCAGAATCTGATGATTATTACCCCGGATAAGCTGCCTGAAAGGCGCTGGAAGGTTATAGTCACATGACTTTTTTCCAACCGTGTACCCATTTTCTGCTGGGTGAACAGAGGCATGTTTTGATAATCCACCTATCACTTTACGTCCATACAGACGTTTACCTACCTATTGGGACCACTTGATAATCCACCTATTACTATACATCCATACAGACGTTTACCTACCTATTGGGACCACTTGATAATCCACCTATCACTATACGTCCATACAGACGTTTACCTACCTACTGGGACCACTTGATAATCCACCTATCACTATACGTCCATACAGACGTTTACCTACCTATTGGGACCACTTGATAATCCACCTATCACTATACGTCCATACAGACGTTTACCTACCTATTGGGACCACTTGATAATCCACCTATCACTATACGTCCATACAGACGTTTACCTACCTATTGGGACCACTTGATAATCCACCTATCACTATACGTCCATACAGACGTTTACCTACCTATTGGGACCACTTGATAATCCACCTATTACTATACATCCATACAGACGTTTACCTACCTATTGGGACCACTGGATAATCCACCTATTACTATACATCCATACAGACGTTTACCTACCTATTGGGACCACTTGATAATCCACCTATCACTATACGTCCATACAGACGTTTACCTACCTATTGGGACCACTTGATAATCCACCTATTACTATACATCCATACAGACGTTTACCTACCTATTGGGACCACTTGATAATCCACCTATTACTATACATCCATACAGACGTTTACCTACCTATTGGGACCACTTGATAATCCACCTATCACTATACGTCCATACAGACGTTTACCTACCTATTGGGACCACTTGATAATCCACCTATTACTATACATCCATACAGACGTTTACCTACCTATTGGGACCACTTGATAATCCACCTATCACTATACGTCCATACAGACGTTTACCTACCTATTGGGACCACTTGATAATCCACCTATCACTATACGTCCATACAGACGTTTACCTACCTATTGGGACCACTTGATAATCCACCTATTACTATACATCCATACAGACGTTTACCTACCTATTGGGACCACTTGATAATCCACCTATCACTATACGTCCATACAGACGTTTACCTACCTATTGGGACCACTTGATAATCCACCTATCACTATACATCCATACAGACGTTTACCTACCTATTGGGACCACTTGATAATCCACCTATCACTTTACGTCCATACAGACGTTTACCTACCTATTGGGACCACTTGATAATCCACCTATTACTATACATCCATACAGACGTTTACCTACCTATTGGGACCACTTGATAATCCACCTATCACTATACGTCCATACAGACGTTTACCTACCTATTGGGACCACTTGATAATCCACCTATCACTATACGTCCATACAGACGTTTACCTACCTATTGGGACCACTGGATAATCAACCTATCACTATACGTCCATACAGACGTTTACCTACCTATTGGGACCACTTGCTAATCAACCTATCACTATACGTCCATACACCAGTACAGTTAACCCTGTTTGACCAAATACAAGTGTTCACTAACCTCTCTGGCCACGACATATGTCTACCTAGCGGCGTGTGTCAATGTAGAAGTGCACTTATCCCATGTGTCAATGTAGAAGTGCACTTATCCCATATGTTAATGTAGAAGTGCACTTATCCCATGTGTCAAAGTAGAACTCCACCTATCCCATATGTGAATATAGAAGTGCACTTATCCCATATGTCAATGTAGATGTGCACTTATCCCATATGTCAATGTAGAAGTGCACTTATCTCATATGTCAATGTAGAAGTGCACTTATCTCATATGTCAATGAAGAAGTGCACTTATCCCATATGTCAATGTAGAAGTCCACTTATCCCATATGTCAATGTAGAAGTGCACTTATCCCATATGTTAATGTAGAAGTCCACTTATCTCATATGTCAATGTAGTAGTGCACTTATCCCATGTGTCAATATAGAAGTGCACTTATCTCATCTGTCATTGTAGAAATCCACTTATCCCATATGATAATTTAGAAGTCCACTTATTTAGAAGTCCAATTTAGAAGTCCACTGGATTCAATATAGAAGTCCACTTATCCCATATGTCAATTTAGAAGTCCACTTATTTAGAAGTTCAATTTAGAAGTCCACTGGATTCAATATAGAAGTCCACTTGTCTCATATGTCAATGTAGAAGTGCACTTATCTCATATGTCAATGTAGAAGTGCACTTATCCCATATGTCAATGTAGAAGTCCACTTATCTCATATGTCAGTGTAGAAGTGCATTTATCCCATGTGTCAATATAGAAGTGCACTTATCTCATCTGTCATTGTAGAAATCCACTTATCCCATATGATAATTTAGAAGTCCACTTATTTAGAAGTCCAATTTAGAAGTCCACTGGATTCAATATAGAAGTCCACTTATCCCATATGTCAATTTAGAAGTCCACTTATTTAGAAGTTCAATTTAGAAGTCCACTGGATTCAATATAGAAGTCCACTTGTCTCATATGTCAATGTAGAAGTGCACTTATCTCATATGTCAATGTAGAAGTGCACTTATCCCATATGTTAATGTAGAAGTCCCTTTATCTCATATGTCAATGTAAAAGTGCACTTATCCCATATGTCAATGTAGAAGTGCACTTATCCCATATGTCAATATAGAAGTCCACTTATCTCATATGTCAATGTGAAAGTGCACTTATCCCATATGTCAATGTAGAAGTGCACTTATCTCATATGTCAATATAGAAGTCCACTTATCTCATATGTCAATGTAAAAGTGCACTTATCCCATATGTCAATGCAGAAGTCCACTTATCCCATATGTCAGTCCAGAAGTCCACGTAGCACCATATGTCAATGTAGAAGTGGGTGAGTGACTGAGAGAGAGTCAATGTTGGGGTTGGTGGGGGAAGGGGTGTTGCCAAAGTATAAAAAATTGATACTCCGACAGTTGAAGTTAACCTCGTTTAACCGACCCAGGAAATCTAAGCCTCTTTGCACCTGTGCCGACGGCATTCGAGTCCCTCCCAGCCACCGTCAACAACAGTCTCAACGATGACCCATCCTTCCGCAAAAACCTCATGTCCTACCACATCGTCACTGGCAGCATGGTATCCGCATTTTTCAACAACGAGGAGTTGTTGCCCACTGTTGCTGGCGCCGCTGTCCGCATCAACAAGTACATCGTCAAAAGTGGCAAGGAGATTGTGAGTGGCAAGCCGGCAAGGTCTTTAGTTGTCAATGTGCCCCGAGTATCCGTAGTTAGTTATATTCGACTACCCGTTTATAAAATCTCCAGTATAATATTCATAGATAATTACATCATTATATCCAAAAGAAAAAAATTTTGGAAGGGGGAAGTCTTCATAGCAGAAACTCGTCATAGAAGAAATTCATCATAGTAGGAAAATCGTCATAGTAGAACCTCGTCATAGTGGAACCTCGTCAAGTTTTTTTCTCATCTCCAGCTTCAACCAGCAACAGACCGGATGGGAGGGAAAATCCAAAATGAATAACAGTTGTAACTTATTTTGACATTTACTTCATGCTGTCTCACTCTTCTTCGGGGTTGTCTACTTCATGTTGTCTCTCTCTTCTTCAGGGTTGTCCACTTCACGTTGTGTCACACTTCTTCAGGGTTGTCTACTTCATGTTGTCTCACTCTTCTTCAGGGTTGTCCACTTCACGCTGTCTCACTCTTCTTCAGGGTTGTCCACCTCATACTGTCTCACTCTTCTTCATGCTGTCTCTCTCTTCTTCAGGGTTGCCCACCCTATGCTGTCTCACGCTTCTTCAGGGTTGTCTACTTCACATTGTCTCACACTTCTTCGGGGCTGTCCATTTCACGCTGTCTCAACGCTTCTTCGGGGTTGTCCACTTCACGCTGTCTCACACTTCTTCAGGGTTGTCCACTTCACATTGTCTCACTCTTCTTCGGGGTTGTCCACTTCACATTGTCTCACTCTTCTTCGGGGTTGTCCACTTCACGCTGTCTCACACTTCTTCAGGGTTGTCCATTTCACATTGTCTCACTCTTCTTCGGGGTTGTCCACTTCACATTGTCTCACTCTTCTTCGGGGTTGTCCACTTCACATTGTCTCACTCTTCTTCAGGGTTGTCTACTTCACATTGTCTCACACTTCTTCAGGGTTGTCCACTTCACATTGTCTCACTCTTCTTCGGGGTTGTCCACTCCACGCTGTCTCACTCTTCTTCAGGGTTGTCTACTTCATGCTGTCTCTCTCTTCTTCAGGGTTGTCCACCTCATGCTGTCTCACACTTCTTCAGCGTTGTCTACTTCAGGTTGTGTCACTCTTCTCCAGGGTTGTCCACTTCACATTGTCTCACTCTTCTTCGGGGTCGCGCACTTCACATTGTCTCACTCTTCTTCAGGGTTGTCCACTTCACATTGTCTCACACTTCTTCGGGGTTGTCCACTTCACATTGTCTCACTCTTCTTCGGGGTTGTCCACTTCACATTGTCTCACTCTTCTTCAGGGTTGTCTACTTCACATTGTCTCACACTTCTTCAGGGTTGTCCACTTCACATTGTCTCACTCTTCTTCGTGGTTGTCCACTTCACATTGTCTCACTCTTCTTCGGGGTTGTCCACTTCACGTTGTGTCACACTCCTTCAGGGTTGTCTACTTCATGCTGTCTCTCTCTTCTTCAGGGTTGTCCACCTCATGCTGTCTCACACTTCTTCAGCGTTGTCTACTTCATGTTGTGTCACTCTTCTCCAGGGTTGTCCACTTCACATTGTCTCACTCTTCTTCAGGGCTGTCCACTTCACGTTGTGTCACACTCCTTCAGGGTTGCCTACTTCATGTTGTCTCACTCTTCTTCATACTGTCTCACTCTTCTTCGGGGTTGTCCACTTCATGCTGTCTCACACTTCTTCAGGGTTGTCCACCTCATGCTGTCTCACACTTCTTCAGGGTTGTCCACCTCATACTGTCTCACTCTTCTTCATACTGTCTCACATTACTTCAGGGTTGTCTACTTCATGCTGTCTCACACTTCTTCAGGGTTCTCTACTTCACGTTGTCTCACTATTCTTCAGGGTTGTCCACCTCATACTGTCTCACACTTCTTCAGCGTTGTCCACTTCACGCTGTCTCACACTTCTTCGGGGTTGTCCACTTCACGCTGTCTCACTTTTCTTCAGGGTTGTCCACCTCATACTGTCTCACACTTCTTCGGGGTTGTCTACTTCACATTGTCTCACACTTCTTCAGGGTTGTCTACTTCACGTTGTCTCACTATTCTTCAGGGTTGTCCACCTCATACTGTCTCATGCTTCTAGAGTTGTCTACTTCACATTGTCTCACACTTCTTCGGGGTTGTCCATTTCACGCTGTCTCACTCTCCTTGGGGGTTGTCCACTTCACGCTGTCTCACACTTCTTCAGGGTTGTCCACTTCACATTGTCTCACTCTTCTTCAGGGTTGTCCACTTCACGTTGTGTCACACTTCTTCGGGGTTGTCCACTTCACGCTGTCTCAATCTTCTTCGGGGTTGTCCACTTCACGCTGTCTCACTCTTCTTCAGGGTTGTCCACTTCACGCTGTCTCACACTTCTTCAGGGTTGTCTACTTCACATTGTCTCACTCTTCTTCAGGGTTGTCCACCTCATACTGTCTCATGCTTCTTCAGGGTTGTCTACTTCACATTGTCTCACACTTCTTCGGGGTTGTCCACTTCACGCTGTCTCACTCTTCTTCGGGGTTGCCCACTTCACGCTGTCTCACACTTCTTCAGGGTTGTCTACTTCACATTGTCTCACTCTTCTTCGGGGTTGTCCACTTCACGTTGTGTCACACTTCTTCGGGGTTTCCACTTCACGTTGTCTCACTCTTCTTCAGGGTTGTCCACTTCACGCTGTCTCACTCTTCTTCGGGGTTGTCCACTTCACGCTGTCTCACTATTCCTCAGTGTTGTCCACCTCATACTGTCTCATAATTCTTCAGGGTTGACCACTTCACGTTGTCTCACTATTCTTCAGAGTTGTCCACCTCATACTGTCTCATGCTTCTTCAGGGTTGTCTACTTCACATTGTCTCACACTTCTTCGGGGTTGTCCATTTCACGTTGTGTCACACTTCTTCGGGGTTTCCACTTCACGTTGTCTCACTCTTCTTCAGGGTTGTCCACTTCACGCTGTCTCACTCTTCTTCGGGGTTGTCCACTTCACGCTGTCTCACTATTCTTCAGTGTTGTCCACCTCATACTGTCTCACAATTCTTCAGGGTTGACCACTTCACGTTGTCTCACTATTCTTCAGGGTTGTCCACCTCATACTATCTCACCCTCCTAGGGGTTGTCCACCTCATACTGTCTCACAATTCTTCAGGGTTGTCTACTTCACATTGTCTCACTATTCTTCAGGGTTGTCCACCTCATACTGTCTCACAATTCTTCAGGGTTGTCCACTTCACGTTGTCTCACTATTCTTCAGGGTTGTCCACCTCATACTGTCTCATGCTTCTTCAGGGTTGTCTACTTCACATTGTCTCAATCTTCTTCGGGGTTGTCCACTTCACGCTGTCTCACTATTCTTCAGGGTTGTCCACTTCACGTTGTCTCACTATTCTTCAGGGTTGTCCACCTCATACTATCTCACCCTCCTAGGGGATGTCCATTTCACGTTGTCTCACTCCTCTTGGGGGTTGTCCACTTCACGCTGTCTCACACTTCTACAGGGTTGTCCACTTCACATTGTCTCACTCTTCTTCGGGGTTGTCCACTTCACGTTGTGTCACACTTCTTCGGGGTTGTCCACTTCAAGCTGTCTCAATCTTCTTCGGGGTTGTCCACTTCACGCTGTCTCACTCTTCTTCGGGGTTGTCCACTTCACGTTGTCTCACTATTCTTCAGGGTTGTCCACCTCATACTGTCTCATGCTTCTTCAGGGTTGTCTACTTCACGTTGTCTCACTATTCTTCAGGGTTGTCCACCTCATACTGTCTCACAATTCTTCAGGGTTGTCCACTTCACGTTGTCTCACTATTCTTCAGGGTTGTCCACCTCATACTGTCTCATGCTTCTTCAGGGTTGTCTACTTCACATTGTCTCACTATTCTTCAGGGTTGTCCACCTCATACTGTCTCACAATTCTTCAGGGTTGTCCACTTCACGTTGTCTCACTATTCTTCAGGGTTGTCCACCTCATACTGCCTCATGCTTCTTCAGGGTTGTCTACTTCACATTGTCTCACTATTCTTCAGGGTTGTCCACCTCATACTGTCTCACAATTCTTCAGGGTTGTCCACTTCACGCTGTGTCACACTTCTTCGGGGTTTCCACTTCACGCTGTCTCAATCTTCTTCGGGGTTGTCCACTTCATGCTGTCTCACTCTTCTTCGGGGTTGTCCACTTCACGTTGTCTCACTATTCTTCGGGGTTGTCCACTTCACGTTGTGTCACACTTCTTCGGGGTTTCCACTTCACGCTGTCTCAATCTTCTTCGGGGTTGTCCACTTCATGCTGTCTCACTCTTCTTCGGGGTTGTCCACTTCACGCTGTCTCACGCTTCTTCGGGGTTGTCCACTTCACATTGTCTCTCTCTTCTTCAGGGTTGTCCACTTCACGTTGTGTCACACTTCTTCAGGGTTGTTCACTTCACATTGTCTGACTCTTCTTCGTGGTTGTCCACTTCACGCTGTCTCACTCTTCTTCGGGGTTGTCCCCCTCATACTATCTCACCCTCCTAGGGGTTGTCCATTTCACGTTGTCTCACTATTCTTCGGGGTTGTCTACTTCACATTGTCTCACTATTCTTCAGGGTTGTCCACCTCATGCTGTCTCACACTTCTTCAGCGTTGTCCACTTCACATTGTCTCACTCTTCTTCAGGGCTGTCCACTTCACGTTGTGTCAAACTTCTTCAGGGTTGTCTACTTCATGTTGTCTCACTCTTCTTCAGGGCTGTCTACTTCATGTTGTCTCACTCTCTTTCATACTGTCTCACTCTTCTTCGGGGTTGTCCACTTCACGTTGTGTCACACTTCTTCAGGGTTGTCCACTTCACGTTGTGTCACACTTCTTCAGGGTTGTCCACTTCACGCTGTCTCTCTCTTCTTCAGGGTCCACTAATTAATACGTATACAGTTTATCATCTTTTTTTACAGATAAAAGTCCAGGTACAATTTGTGTTCTTGTTAGATACTCAGATTTTATTTGGGTTCAAATCATGCTCATGAGTGAGAACGTGTGAACTATTTCTAACTTTTCGCTCTGACAGACGACAGTGTCCGGGAGCCCCGTCCTCCTCTCGGATCTACCCTGCAGTAATGGCATGTTGTTTATGATGAAGGGAGTTATCTACCCTGTACCTACCGGAAGTGCATTCGACTATGTGGCCGGAAGTGACAGTTTCAGCACCCTCCGTCTTGCCATCACCAAAGCCAGCTTGTCCCAGGAATTTGCAGGTGATCAGCGTAATTCTTACAATATGGCCCCACATACTGAGGCATTATTTGCAGAATATAGGTAACTTGGCAATCTTTGATTAAAGCTGCTTGTCAGTGGCTGAATAAATGTAGGTAACTTGATAGTCAGGTCAAGCAGAGACCATATAATAGTCTGTGGATGTGTCGATGTTACCAGTTAGAATGTACATGAATCAAAGGTACCAGTGAGAATGGATGAGTCAATGTAACCAGTGAGAATGGATGAGTCAATGTAACCAGTGAGAATGGATGAGTCGATGTTACCAGTGAGAATGGATGAGTCGATGTAACCAGTGAGAATGGATGAGTCGATGTTACCAGTGAGATTGGATGAGTCGATGTAACCAGTGAGAATGGATGAGTAGATGTAACCAGTGAGAATGGATGAGTCGATGTTACAAGTGAGAATGGATGAGTCGATGTTACCAGTGATAATTGATGAGTTGATGTTACCAATGAGAGAGGATGAATAAGTTTTACTTCTCAGAATGGATGAAACAGTGCTATTTCTCTGTATAGATGAATCAACGTTACTAGTAAGAATGGATGAATCAATGTTAAAGGTCACATGCAACGTAAAACACAGCTTTGCAGATTCTTATACCTTTCGGTATGGACTTACCGAAACAAATCGTAAAAAATGCAAATTCATCTTAAAAAGTTGAAAAATAACGCGATGAAAAAACACGCGCGAAATCGGAGTTCAAACGTTTCACTAATTTTCCCCAGACTTTTCGGGGGAAAACTGGTTTCAACAGCTGGGCTGCGCTCATAACACGTGCGCAGTGAAATAGGTTCGTGCAGCTTGGAAGCGGGTTGTCAGGTGAATACTCGGTGAAGGCTTTGGTGTGAGCCATTTTCCTAATGTTTTGTTGATATCTCACAGGCGCGAGCTTTTTATATGTTATGACAGTAAATAAACTGTTTATATAATTTCATTTGTCTATTTCACCACACGTTCTTCTTACCGAGTCACTTTCTCAGTTCGATACTTAAAAGCAATGTCATTATTTAGCGTTGACAGAATTTCTAACTGTGATACAGATATGTCGTTGTCACAGACAAAACTCAATGTATTGTTTTATTGACACCTGTGTGTCTGCCTGCCTGTCTGCTAATGACAATATTAAATATACAGCTGCTATCACTGACCACATGTAATGGTGGTGAACTTAACACCAATCAAGCTATACACCATAAACAAAATGCATTGATTTATGGCCCGAGTTCGGTCTCTGTCACATTATGTAATTACACAGACAGGCAGGTGTGATACTTAAACACATGACATATTATGATGTCTGTTGATTGTAAAATGTTATACACAAAAATGAGCATGTATTTACAAAACCCAACATCTCTATATATACACACACAATGAGCCGTGAGGGCATCTGCTAATGAACCAGCCGTTATACTTGAGTGCACACCCACCCACTCTGACTGGGTTCGGTATCCCGGCTGCTTCGATTTCTGGGGAAGTAAACCCAAGGAAAACAATATTGCACTTTTGATTTGCGATTGTACGCTTATAATTTTGTTTATATGTTTTTTCATAACCAGCAATGTATATTATATGAAAATAATATAAATAAATATAACCTAGAAAATAATATAAATGATGCCAAAAAAATTCTGGTATGAACTTAAAACACTAAATCCTAAGAAAAGCCAAAATAATAACATTGAAATCGACGAATGGTTCAATTACTTTCAGTCATTATTCTCTACCTCTGATAACAACCCAGATCCAAATAGACAAGACTATGTGAACGATACTGAGTCTACTCATATTACAGGTGTAGACCCCGACATATTGGATGCCCCAATAAGTAGAGATGAAATACTTAACAGTATACAACATCTAAAGTGTAATAAGTCACCAGGATTAGACAACACCCTCCCGGAATTTTTCAAACATTCATCTGATCTTTTACTTCCATATCTTGAGCTTATTTTCAATATTATTCTCGACACTGGGAACTTTCCTGAATCTTGGTCAGTTGGCATTCTTGTTCCAGTCTATAAACAGGGTGACCCTAAAGATACCAATAACTACCGTGGAATAACTGTACTTAGTATATTTGGCAAGTTATTTACTTACATTATCAACAAAAGATTAGTTAAATGGACTGACGTCATGGATCAGATATACGAGGGTCAAGCGGGCTTTAGGGAGGGATATACAACAACATATAATATCTTTATACTGTATAGCCTAATACAAAGATACCTCAGCTCAAAAGGTGGAAAGTTCTACGCACTATTCGTTGATTTTGCAAAGGCTTTCGATTCTGTGCAGCGGGATAAACTATGGAGACTTCTACATTCGCACGGTCTTAGTAGTAAAATGAATAAAATGTTGAAGAGTATATACGAAAATGTTAAAGTGTGTGTAAGGAATCAGCATGAATTATCTGAACCTTTCATTAGTGAACTAGGTGTTAGACAAGGCTGTATTTTAAGCCCTTTCCTTTTTACGTTTTTCATTAATGAACTAGCAATACAAATATGTGACACATGTACGAATGGGATTCAACTACACCCAGATACAATACAACTATTTGTATGAATAAGTTTTACTTCTCAGAATGGATGAAACAGTGTTATTTCTCTGAATAGATGAATCAACTTTACTAGTAAGAATGGATGAATCAATGTTAATTCTCAGAATAGATGAATCAGAGTCACTTCTCAGAATAGATGAATCTGTGATACTTCTCAGAATGGATGAATCAATGTTACCAAGGCTAGTCGTTTATCGGTTGTTGAATGAAGGTTACTGGTCAGTTGTTTATCAAGGCTACTCGTTTATCGGTTGTTGAATGAAGGTTACTGGTCAGTTGTTTATCAAGGCTACTCGTTTATCGGTTGTTGAATGAAGGTTACCTATCAGTTTGGGTGAATTGAGGCTACTGATGAACATGTTGGTGTTTTCAGCTGACCACCAGACTGTATTTGCCCCATCTGATGCCGCCTTTGCTCGCCTCCCCCCTGGGGTCCTAGATTCCCTGCTGGAAAACATCCCCCGACTCCGGGGTAGGTACAAGTCAATGTCTGCCGGTATTTCCACACCGTGGCGAAGTGAGATTCTGCTGACACTAAACATTGACATATTTCAGTAGCACGCTGTCTGTTCACAGGTGTGCTGCAAAACCACTTGGTTAACACAGGAACGTTCTTCAGTGCAGGGCTGTACGAAGGTCTAGTACTTCAATCCTTACAGGGCAAGCTACAGATAGGAGTCGGTGGGTATAACTGAGTTACAATCTGTAATCTTTATGTAATCTGGTACTAATAGGTAGTAATGGTATACAGTTGTGTACCGGTAGGTATTAGTGAAATGTAGCGGAGTACAGAAAGACATTACAGATATATAGTCTGGTAGTGGAAATATTAGTGATATATAGCTGGGTATTGGAAGAAATAAGTGAAATAAGTTGAGTACGGGAATTTTTACTGATATGTAGTCTGGTACTGGTGGGTTTTAGTAACATATTGTTGGACACCAGTAGGTATTACTGACATATAGACTGGTGCTGGTAGGTATTATTGACATATAGACTGGTGCTGGTAGGTATTATTGACATATAGACTGGTGCTGGCAGGTATTATTGATATGTAGCCTTAAACTAGTAGGTATTACTGATATATAGGCTGCCACTGGTAGGTATTACTGATATATAGATTGGTGCTGGTAGGTATTATTGAGATGTAGCCTTAAACTAGTAGGTATTACTGATATATAGACAGGTACTGGTAGGTATTACTGATATATAGGCTGGTACTGGTAGGTATTACTGATATATAGGCTGGTACTGGTAGGTATTATTGATATGTAGCCTTAAACTAGTAGGTATTACTGACATACAGACTGGTGCTGGAAGGTATTACTGACATATAGACTGGTGCTGGTAGTTATTACTGATATATAGACTGGTGCTGGTAGGTATTACAGATATATAGACTGGTGCTGGTAGGTATTACAGACATATAGACTGGTGCTGGTAGGTATTACTGATATATAGGCAGGTACTGGTAGGTATTACTGATATATAGGCAGGTACTGGTAGGTATTACTGATATATAGGCTGGTGCTGGTAGGTATTACAGACATGTAGACTGGTGCTGGTAGGTATTACTTATATATAGGCTGGTACTGGTAGGTATTACTGATATATAGGCTGGTACTGGTAGGTATTACTGATATATAGGCTGGTACTGGTAGGTATTACTGATATATAGGCTGTTGCTGGTAAGTATTACTGATATATAGACCGGTGCTGGTAGGTATTACAGACATATAGACTGGTGCTGGTAGGTATTACTGATATATAGGCTGGTACTGATAGGTATTACTGATATATAGGCTGGTACTGGTAGGTATTACTGATATATAGGCTGGTACTGGTAGGTATTACTGATATATAGGCAGGTACTGGTAGGTATTATTGATATGTAACCATAAAATAGTAGGTATTACTGATATATAGGCTGGTGCTGGTAGGTATTACCGATATATAGGCTGGTACTGGTAGGTATTACAGACATATAGACTGGTGCTGGTAGGTATTACTGATATATAGGCTGGTACTGGTAGGTATTACTGATATATAGGCTGGTACTGGTAGGTATTACTGATACATAGGTTGGTACTGGTAGGTATTACTGATATATAGGCAGGTACTGGTAGGTATTATTGATATGTAGCCTTAAACTAGTAGGTATTACTGATATATAGGCTGGTACTGGTAGGTATTACTGATATATAGGCTGGTACTGGTAGGTATTACTGATATATAGGCTGGTACTGGTAGGTATTATTGATATGTAGCCTTAAACTAGTAGGTATTACTGACATACAGACTGGTGCTGGAAGGTATTACTGACATATAGACTGGTGCTGGTAGTTATTACTGATATATAGACTGGTGCTGGTAGGTATTACAGATATATAGACTGGTGCTGGTAGGTATTACAGACATATAGACTGGTGCTGGTAGGTATTACTGATATATAGGCAGGTACTGGTAGGTATTACTGATATATAGGCAGGTACTGGTAGGTATTACTGATATATAGGCTGGTGCTGGTAGGTATTACAGACATGTAGACTGGTGCTGGTAGGTATTACTTATATATAGGCTGGTACTGGTAGGTATTACTGATATATAGGCTGGTACTGGTAGGTATTACTGATATATAGGCTGGTACTGGTAGGTATTACTGATATATAGGCTGTTGCTGGTAAGTATTACTGATATATAGACCGGTGCTGGTAGGTATTACAGACATATAGACTGGTGCTGGTAGGTATTACTGATATATAGGCTGGTACTGATAGGTATTACTGATATATAGGCTGGTACTGGTAGGTATTACTGATATATAGGCTGGTACTGGTAGGTATTACTGATATATAGGCAGGTACTGGTAGGTATTATTGATATGTAGCCATAAAATAGTAGGTATTACTGATATATAGGCTGGTGCTGGTAGGTATTACCGATATATAGGCTGGTACTGGTAGGTATTACAGACATATAGACTGGTGCTGGTAGGTATTACTGATATATAGGCTGGTACTGGTAGGTATTACTGATATATAGGCTGGTACTGGTAGGTATTACTGATACATAGGCTGGTACTGGTAGGTATATACTGGATTATTATATGCTGGTAAACTGGTAGGTATTACTGATATATAGGCTGGTACTGGTAGGTATTACTGATATATAGGCTGGTACTGGTAGGTATTACTGATATATAGGCTGGTACTAGACTAGGTATATTACTGATATATAGACTGGTACTGGTAGGTATTACTGATATATAGACTGGTGCTGGTAGGTATTACTGACATATAGACTGGTGCTGGTAGGTATTACTGATATATAGACTGGTGCTGGTAGGTATTACTGATATATAGACTGGTGCTGGTAGGTATTACTGACATATAGACTGGTGCTGGTAGGTATTACTGACATATAGACTGGTGCTGGTAGGTATTACTGACATATAGACTGGTGCTGGTAGGTATTACTGACATATAGACTGGTGCTGGTAGGTATTACTGACATATAGACTGGTGCTGGTAGGTATTACTGACATATAGACTGGTGCTGGTAGGTATTACTGACATATAGACTGGTGCTGGTAGGTATTACTGACATATAGACTGGTACTGGTAGGTATTACTGACATATAGACTGGTACTGGTAGGTATTACTGACATATAGACTGGTACTGGTAGGTATTACTGATATATAGGCTGGTACTGGTAGGTATTACTGATATATAGGCTGGTACTGGTAGGTATTACTGATATATAGGCTGGTACTGGTAGGTATTACTGATATATAGGCTGGTACTGGTAGGTATTACTGATATATAGACTGGTGCTGGTAGGTATTACTGATATATAGGCTGGTACTGGTAGGTATTACTGATATATAGACTGGTGCTGGTAGGTATTACTGACATATAGACTGGTGCTGGAAGCTATTACTGACATAGACTGGTGCTGGTAGGTATTACTGATATATAGGCTGGTACTGGTAGGTATTACTGATATATAGACTGGTGCTGGTAGGTATTACTGACATATAGACTGGTCCTGGTAGGTATTACAGACATAGAGACTGGTACTGGTAGGTATTACTGATATATAGGCTGGTACTGGTAGGTATTACTGATATATAGGCAGGTACTGGTAGGTATTACTGATATATAGGCAGGTACTGGTAGGTATTACAGATATATAGGCTGGTACTGCTAGGTATTACTGATGTATAGGCTGGTACAGGTAGGTATTACTGATATATAGGCTGGTACTGGTAAGTGAATCTCATATACAGTCCTTTGTTGATAATATACTAGTTGAATATTATACGAACAGGTTTATTCAGATTCAGCTCTGAACGCATTTATGTCCACTTTAATGGTGTCACTGTTCAATGTATTATTATATGTTTGGTTGACAGGTGGCTTAACAGTGAATGGGTCCAACATCACGACAGCTGACACCACTGTGACCAATGGCGTGCTCCACACCATAGACTCTGTGCTGATCCAAGCTTAGGTCCACAGCCTGAAGCACTCACTGAGAATGTTCTGGGAGGCCACAACAGCTGGGTCTGGTGTCATCCCTTGGCAACAGGAACAATATGTACTTTGTATTTATAATTTGTAGAATAAATGTTTTCAGTGAACTCCTCAGCAACCATTGACAAATATAATGATTAGCTGTCAGTGGCTCGACATTCACAGTTTTGCCCTATTTGTCTGTTGGATATCACCTGGTATCTCTATGTAATGCATGTAACTATTTACGTAATAAGTATATTCCACACACGTTTTCGGCCAGTATGTGAAGACTTCAGAAATATACTTCCGGGCAAAAGAAAGTATAGATTTTTCAAATCGTTTTCGTTGGACGTTTTCCATCAAATCTGACGTAACTGTGCTTGATAACCATTGCGGCTCCGGCTCACAGAAACACGAAACACATGTAAAACTTGTCAATTGATGCACAGTGAGGCACTAATGACATCATACCAGCTGAAGCCGATTATGGCACTAACATTCTTGGCAAACATTGAAGCTACGGAATGCATGGACCCCCTGCAGTCCCCGCGAGACAAGGGACACACAGTGAGATACAAAATGCTTTAATGCCTTTGATTCCTTGTCAGTTGATAGTCTCTTCTCCATACACTGGACACTGCTAAGTATCATTCAGACAAACATGCACCACAACACAGATAATTATTCATCTTAGACACAACCGACCTGGACAATATCACGCTGTGCAGCAGTCACATAGTGAGGACCGTTCTGCTACATATATAAATATACTGCATCACAACTAGCAGTCTGGCAGAGGAGACAGGAGCAGTCATTACAAGGAGTATGGTAAATTTTCATAACCAATCACAACTAGCAGTAAAGTACACAGTATTTACCATTCTGAACCACAGTGTGACCCTGTGTACACAGTATGAACCAGTCTGACCCTGTGTACACAGTATGAACCAGTGTGACCCTGTGTACACAGTATGAACCAGTCTGACCCTGTGTACACAGTATGAACCAGTCTGACCCTGTGTACACAGTATGAACCAGTCTGACCCTGTGTACACAGTATGAACCAGTCTGACCCTGTGTACACAGTATGAACCAGTCTGACCCTGTGTACACAGTATGAACCAGTCTGACCCTGTGTACACAGTATGAACCAGTCTGACCCTGTGTACACAGTATGAACCAGTCTGACCCTGTGTACACAGTATGAACCACAGTGTGACCCTGTGTACACAGTATGAACCAGTCTGACTCTGTACACAGTATGAACCAGTCTGACTCTGTGTACACAGTATGAACCAGTCTGACCCTGTGTACACAGTATATACCACAGTTGGCCAATACATGAGAGATACGAAGGCAGAAGGGATATAGGTTCATAGTGAGGGACTGTCTGAAGGCAGAAGGGATATAGGTTCTTAGTAAGGGATACATGTTCATAGTAAGGGACTGTCTGAAGGCAGAAGGTATATAGGTTCATAGTGAGGGACTGTCTGAAGGCAGAAGGGACACAGTAAGGGACTGTCTGAAGGCAGAAGGGACACAGTAAGGGACTGTCTGAAGGCAGAAGGGATATAGGTTCAAAGTGAGGGAGTGTCTGAAGGCAGAAGGTATATAGGTTCATAGTGAGGGACTGTCTGAAGGCAGAAGGTATATAGGTTCATAGTGAGGGACTGTCTGAAAGCAGAAGGACACAGTAAGGGACTGTCTGAAGGCAGAAGGGATAAAGGTTCACAGTTCACAGTGATGGACTGTCTGAAGGCAAGTACTTGGCTTATAGGGAACACAACACACTGGCTAAATGTAAACTACAAAGTTCCATGTGAACTGTACAGATCCCAACTTTCTTGTACAACATGTACACTTCTGTACTGTGGATGTCAAATGGAGGCAGAGGTCATGGTGTCAATACATGACCACATGCTCACTTGTTACATACATGTAATAATTACAGCACAATGACAGGTAAGTGCCCTATAGATACACAGGTAAGTGCCCTATGGATACACAGGTAAGTGCCCTATAGATACACAGGTAAGTGCCCTATGGATACACAGGTAAGTACCCTATAGATACACAGGTAAGTGCCCTAAGTGCCATATAGATACACAGGTAAGTGCCCTATAGATACACAGGTAAGTGCCCTATAGATACACAGGTAAGTGCCCTATAGATACACAGGTAAGTGCCCTATAGATACACAGGTAAGTGCCCTATGGATACACAGGTAAGCGCCCTATAGATACACAGGTAAGCGCCCTATGGATACACAGGTAAGTGACCTATAGATACACAGGTAAGTGACCTATAGATACACAGGTAAGAGCCCTATAGATACACAGGTAAGTGCCCTATAGATACACAGATAAGTGACCTATGGATACACAGGTAAGTGACCTATAGATACACAGGTAAGTGACCTATAGATACACAGGTAAGTGCCCTATAGATACACAGGTAAGTGCCCTATAGATACACAGGTAAGTGCCCTATAGATACACAGGTAGAAGTGCCTATAGATAGATACATAGATAGATACACAGGTAAGTGCCCTATAGATACACAGGTAAGTGCCCTATAGATACACAGGTAAGTGCCCTATAGATACACAGGTAAGTGCCCTATAGATACACAGGTAAGTGCCCTATAGATACACAGGTAAGTGCCCTATGGATACACAGGTAAGTGCCCTATAGATACACAGGTAAGTGCCCTATAGATACACAGGTAAGTGCCCTATAGATACACAGGTAAGTGCCCTATGGATACACAGGTAAGTGACCTATGGATACACAGGTAAGTGACCTATAGATACACAGGTAAGTGCCCTATAGATACACAGGTAAGTGCCCTATAGATACACAGGTAAGTGCCCTATAGATACACAGGTAAGTGCCCTATAGATACAGGTAAGTGCCCTATAGATACACAGGTAAGTGCCCTATAGATACACAGGTAAGTGACCTATAGATACACAGGTAAGTGACCTATGGATACAAACAATGCAGGTTCCCATTGTTACTGTGGCATAATGGATATGCAGACCATATACAGACCATCATGACTAATCCACAATACTCATAGAAATGAGATACTTACTGATATGTTTCTATTTGTGGCACTTGATGCTTTGTTAGCTAACCTTTCTCAAGTCATTACAATTCTCAAGAATTACTTCACAGACTTCCCTTCACTACAGATTCTATTTGCACAAAACATACATGGATGCCTTTGTTACACAGTCAGATAGATACCCTGATAATATTGTCCTACAGATGGCTCTGTTACACTGTCGGAGAGCTACCCCCACCAACCCCATCCAATATTGTCCTACAGATGGCTCTGTTACACTGTCGGAGAGCTACCCCCACCAACCCCCATTCAATATTGTCCTATAGATGACTCTGTTACACTGTCGGAGTGCTACCCCCACCAACCCCCATTCAATATTGTCCTACAGATGGCTCTGTTACACTGTCTGAGAGCTACCCCCACCAACCCCCATTCAATATTGTCCTATAGATGACTCTGTTACACTGTCGGAGAGCTACCCCCACCAACCCCCATTCAATATTGTCCTACAGATGACTCTGTTACACTGTCGGAGAGCTACCCCCACCAACCCCCATCCAATATTGTCCTATAGATGACTCTGTTACACTGTCGGAGAGCTACCCCCACCAACCCCCATCCAATATTGTCCTATAGATGACTCTGTTACACTGTCGGAGAGCTACCCCCACCAACCCCCATTCAATATTGTCCTATAGATGACTCTGTTACACTGTCGGAGTGCTACCCCCACCAACCCCCATTCAATATTGTCCTACAGATGGCTCTGTTACACTGTCGGAGAGCTACCCCCACCAACCCCCATTCAATATTGTCCTATAGATGACTCTGTTACACTGTCGGAGAGCTACCCTCACCAACCCCCATTCAATATTGTCCTACAGATGACTCTGTTACACTGTCGGAGTGCTACCCCCACCAACCCCATCCAATATTGTCCTATAGATGACTCTGTTACACTGTCGGAGAGCTACCCCCACCAACCCCCATTCAATATTGTCCTATAGATGACTCTGTTACACTGTCGGAGAGCTACCCCCACCAACCCCATCCAATATTGTCCTATAGATGACTCTGTTACACTGTCGGAGAGCTACCCCCACCAACCCCCATTCAATATTGTCCTATAGATGACTCTGTTACACTGTCGGAGAGCTACCCCCACCAACCCCATCCAATATTGTCCTACAGATGGCTCTGTTACACTGTCGGAGAGCTACCCCCACCAACCCCCATTCAATATTGTCCTATAGATGACTCTGTTACACTGTCGGAGAGCTACCCCCACCAACCCCATTCAATATTGTCCTATAGATGACTCTGTTACACTGTCGGAGAGCTACCCCCACCAACCCCCATCCAATATTGTCCTATAGATGACTCTGTTACACTGTCGGAGAGCTACCCCCACCAACCCCCATCCAATATTGTCCTATAGATGACTCTGTTACACTGTCGGAGAGCTACCCCACCAACCCCCATCCAATATTGTCCTACAGATGGCTCTGTTACACTGTGCCAGAGCTACCCCCACCAACCCCCATCCAATATTGTCCTATAGATGGCTCTGTTACACTGTCGGAGTGCTACCCCCACCAACCCCATCCAATATTGTCCTATAGATGACTCTGTTACACTGTCGGAGAACTACCCCCACCAACCCCCATCCAATATTGTCCTATAGATGACTCTGTTACACTGTCGGGGAGCTACCCCCACCAACCCCCATCCAATATTGTCCTATAGATGACTCTGTTACACTGTCGGAGAGCTACCCCCACCAACCCCCATTCAATATTGTCCTATAGATGACTCTGTTACACTGTCGGGGAGCTACCCCCACCAACCCCCATCCAATATTGTCCTACAGATGACTCTGTTACACTGTCGGAGAGCTACCCCCACCAACCCCCATTCAATATTGTCCTATAGATGACTCTGTTACACTGTCGGAGAGCTACCCCCACCAACCCCATTCAATATTGTCCTATAGATGACTCTGTTACACTGTGGGAGCTACCCCTCCAACCCCCATCCAATATTGTCCTATAGATGACTCTGTTACACTGTCGGAGAGCTACCCCCACCAACCCCCATTCAATATTGTCCTATAGATGACTCTGTTACACTGTCGGAGAGCTACCCCCACCAACCCCCATTCAATATTGTCCTATAGATGACTCTGTTACACTGTCGGAGTGCTACCCCCACCAACCCCCATTCAATATTGTCCTATAGATGACTCTGTTACACTGTCGGAGAGCTACTCAAACAGGTACAGAATGTGGGGATGATTACAGGTACAGAATGTGGGGATTATTACAGGTACAGAATTTGGGCATGACTATTGGTACAGAAGGTGGGATGATTACAGGTACAGAGGATGGGGATGATTACAGGTACAGAGGATGGGGATGATTACAGGTACAGAGGGTGGGGATGAGAACAGGTACATAGGGTGGGTATGATTACAGGTACAGAGGATGGGGATGATTACAGGTATAGAAGGTGGGGATGAGAACAGGTACAGAGGGTGTGTGGATGATTACAGGTATTGAAGGTGGGGATGATGACAGGTATTGAGGGTGGGGATGATGACAGGTATTGAGGGTGGGGATGATTACAGGTATAGAAGGTGGGGATGAGAACAGGTACAGAGGGTGGGGATGATTACAGGTATTGAGGGTGGGGATGATTACCGGTACAGAGGGGGTGTGGATGATTACAGGTACATAGGGTGGGAATGATTACAGGTACAGAGGATGCGGATGATTACAGGTATTGAAGGTGGGAATGATTACAGGTACAGAGGATGGGGATGATTACAGGTATTGAAGGTGGGGATGACTACAGGTACAGAAGGGTGGGGATGATTACAGGTATAGGTGGGGATGAGAACAGGTACAGAGGGTGGGGGGATGATTACAGGTACAGAATGTGGGAATGATTACAGGTACAGAGGATGGGGATGATTACAGGTATTGAAGGTGGGGATGACTACAGGTACAGAAGGTTGGGGATGATTACAGGTACAGAAGGTGGGGGATGATTACAGGTACAGAATGTGGGGATGATTACAGGTACAGATTGTGGGGATGATTACAGGTACAGAATGTGGGGATGATTACAGGTACAGAAGGTGGGGATGACTACAGGTAGAGAGGGTGGGGATGATTAAAGGTATAGAAGGTGGGGATGATTACAGGTACAGAAGGTTGGGGATGATTACAGGTACAGAATGTGGGGATGATTACAGGTACAGAATGTGGGGATGATTACAGGTACAGAATGTGGGGATGATTACAGGTACAGAAGGTGGGGGATGATTACAGGTACAGAAGGGGGGGGGGGATGATTACAGGTACAGAATGTGGGGATGATTACAGGTACAGAATGTGGGGATGATTACAGGTACAGAAGGTGGGGATGACTACAGGTAGAGAGGGTGGGGATGATTACAGGTATAGAAGGTGGGGATGATTACAGGTAGAGAAGGTGGGGGATGATTACAGGTACAGAATGTGGGGATGATTACAGGTACAGAATGTGGGGATGATTACAGGTACAGAATGTGGGGATGATTACAGGTACAGAAGGTGGGGATGAGAACAGGTACAGAGGGTGGGTGATTTGAGATTATGCAGGGGAATGGCAGTTATGGAAGTTTTATCAAAATGCTTTCCTTAGACATAAAGGGTGATGAGACTATACTGACTGAAAAGCTCTGACATGACACGTCTGCATGAAAAGAGTAAGCACTTGATGGGTAAGGCACACAAAACTATGTCAACACAACTATGACACAACCAGGACACAATGTAGCACCACTTCACTAAAAAGCTTGATATATGTAAATATGAGACTGTAAATTCCCTTCAAGACCAAGGATTTCAACACTAAAACAACACCAATGCATCATAGCTCATATAAAATATCAGTCACCTTCTGTTTACAAAACATTTTCCTACTTGATGGAATGTGAATGGTCTAGAGAGGGATGGCTGAAAAGTTCACAGTATCACTCTGATGTAACATAGGTTACATTTGGGATTACACTCATCACTATGATGGATTGCAGTGACAGGTCCTGGTCTACCTGCCAATAAAGTGTGAGTGAGCAGATCCTACTGGTGTTCAAGACTCCCTCCATTGACGGAATCCCCTCCAGGTCTACCCTGCCAATGAAGTGTGAGTGAGCAGATCCTACTGGTGTTCAAGACTCCCTCCATTGACGGAATCCCCTCCAGGTCTACCCTGCCAATGAAGTGTGAGTGAGCAGATCCTACTGGTGTTCAAGACTCCCTCCATTGACTGAATCCCCTCCAGGTCTACCCTGCCAATGAAGTGTGAGTGAGCAGATCCTACTGGTGTTCAAGCCTCCCTCCATTGACGGAATCCCCTCCAGGTCTACCCTGCCAATGAAGTGTGAGTGAGCAGATCCTACTAGTGTTCAAGACTCCCTCCATTGACGGAATCCCCTCCAGGTCTACCCTGCCAATGAAGTGTGAGTGAGCAGATCCTACTGGTGTACAAGCCTCCCTCCATTGACTGAATCCCCTCCAGGTCTACCCTGCCAATGAAGTGTGAGTGAGCAGATCCTACTAGTGTTCAAGACTCCCTCCATTGACGGAATCCCCTCCAGGTCTACCCTGCCAATGAAGTGTGAGTGAGCAGATCCTACTAGTGTTCAAGACTCCCTCCATTGACTGAATCCCCTCCAGGTCTACCCTGCCAATGAAGTGTGAGTGAGCAGATCCTACTAGTGTTCAAGACTCCCTCCATTGACGGAATCCCCTCCAGGTCTACCCTGCCAATGAAGTGTGAGTGAGCAGATCCTACTGGTGTTCAAGCCTCACTCAATTGACGGAATCCCCTCCAGGTCTACCCTGCCAATGAAGTGTGAGTGAGCAGATCCTACTAGTGTTCAAGACTCCCTCCATTGACGGAATCCCCTCCAGGTCTACCCTGCCAATGAAGTGTGAGTGAGCAGATCCTACTGGTGTACAAGCCTCACTCCTGGCAGTGTGAACACACCAGACATTACACAATCACCATTTGCGGAATGTTTGCCAGACAGATCTTCAAATTGGGAAAAAGGTGGAACTCTGACACGGCCAAATCTGGTGAAGATGGATGATGCTTTATAGGCTCCCACCCACATACATACATTTCGGTCATTGTGACAGAAGGCTTGACGGCTGCTGTATGATCCTTTTGTGAGTTTTCCATGATGGACAGCCTTGATATTGTCACACATTTGCTGAGACAGATTAACATAATATTGGCCATTAGTGATCTGAACGCTTGGGAGGTAGTCCATCAGTAGAACTCCTTTAGAATACCAGAAAACTGAGGCCATCACCTTGAAAGCTGATGCTGTTTAGTTCATGGCTGATGGTGGTGAACCAAGCACTCAACCACTTGTGCAAATCACTCAACTAACAGTCAATGAACCAAGTGTCCTCAGAAAGTTCTCCACTCTCTCATGAGAAAGGCCTACTGCAATGGCTATGTCGCATGATGCAAGTAGTCCACCATTCACGATAACATGATGTAGTTTATCAACCTCTGAACACTCAGACTCCACATGTAACAGGGCATCATTCCCTCAAGATAACCAGAGCATCCTTCCCTAAAGTTAACCAGAGCATCCTTCCCTAAAGTCCCTAGAGTTAACCAGAGCATCCTTCCCTAAAGTTAACCAGAGCATCCTTCTTCAACGTTCACAGAGCATCCTTCCCTAAAGTTAACCAGAGCATCATTCTTCAACGTTCACAGAGCATCATTGCCTAAAGTTAACCAGAGCATCATTCTTCAACGTTCACAGAGCATCATTGCCTAAAGTTAACAGAGCATCATTCTTCAACGTTCACAGAGCATCATTTTCTAAAGTTAACCACAGAATCATTCCCTGAACTCAACCAGAGCATCCTTCCCTCAAGATGACCAGAGCATCATTGCCTAAAGTTAACCAGAGCATCATTCTTCAACGTTCACAGAGCATCCTTGCCTAAAGTTAACCAGAGCATCATTCTTCAACGTTCACAGAGCATCATTGCCTAAAGTTAACAGAGCATCATTCTTCAACGTTCACAGAGCATCATTTTCTAAAGTTAACCACAGAATCATTCCCTGAACTCAACCAGAGCATCCTTCCCTCAAGATGACCAGAGCATCATTGCCTAAAGTTAACCAGAGCATCATTCTTCAACGTTCAGAGCATCCTTCCCTAAAGTTAACCAGAGCATCATTCTTCAACGTTCACAGAGCATCATTGCCTAAAGTTAACAGAGCATCATTCTTCAACGTTCACAGAGCATCATTTTCTAAAGTTAACCACAGAATCATTCCCTGAACTCAACCAGAGCATCCTTCCCTAAAGATGACCAGAGCATCATTGCCTAAAGTTAACCAGAGCATCATTCTTCAACGTTCACAGAGCATCATTGCCTAAAGTTAACCAGAGCATCATTCTTCAACGTTCACAGAGCATCATTGCCTAAAGTTAACCAGAGCATCATTCTTCAACGTTCACAGAGCATCATTTTCTAAAGTTAACCACAGAATCATTCCCTGAACTCAACCAGAGCATCATTGCCTAAAGTTAACCAGAGCATCCTTCCCTCAAGATAACCAGAGCATCCTTCCCTCAAGATGACCAGAGCATCCTTCCCTAAAGTTAACCAGAGCATCATTGCCTAAATTTAACCAGACCATCATTCCCACAAGATAACCAGAGCATCCTTCCCTAAAGTTAACCAGAGCATCCTTCCCTAAAGTTAACCAGAGCATCATTTCCTCAAGATAACCTGGGTGCCGTTGTACAAAACAACCTTAGAGCTAAGGCTACCTTAAGTCTATGTTAAAGTAATGGAGTTACGGTCACCTTAGCGCTAAGATCGCTGTGTACAACGGCACCCAGAGCATCATTGCCTAAATTTAACCAGAGCATCATTCCCTCAAGATAACCAGAGCATCATTGCCTTAATTTAACCAGAGCATCATTCCCACAAGATAACCAGAGCATCCTTCCCTAAAGTTAACCAGAGCACAATTTCTTTAAAAATGGCGTCAGGCGTCGACATGGATGGCCACTTCATATGGCCTTTCAGGCTGGAGGTACTCCATGATCTCAGTCCATTTTTCATCAGCAGAGAATACCTAGTAACTTAAATGCTTGCTTAAATATTCTGCCTGGTTTTGTATTTGGTTCAAATGCAGCACAAAATGTAACATGCAAACTAAAAATTGTACTATGCATCCAAAACATTTCAGCCATCCCTCATATAATATACAGCCTCTACCGTAACTCTCTGTGGGGGAGGAGGATCAGACATAACTCCTAGTGGGGGAGGGTGATCAGACATAACTCATAGTGGGGCTGGGTGATCAGAGATAACTCCTTGTGAGGGAGGCGTCAGACATAACTCCAAGTGGGGAGGGGTAAGACAACTAGTGGGGGAGGGATCAGAGATAACTCCTTCTGGGGAGGGGGCAGACATAACTCCTAGTGGGGAGGAGGATCAGAGATAACTCCTTGTGGGGAAGGGGGTCAGACATAACTCCTTGTGGGGAGGAGGATCAGACATAACTCCTTCTGGGGAGGGGGCAGACATAACTCCTAGTGGGGAGGAGGATCAGACATAACTCCTTGTGAGGGGCGTCAGACATAACTCCAAGTGGGGGAGGGGTAAGACAACTAGTGGGGGAGGGATCAGAGATAACTCCTTCTGGGGGAGGGGCAGACATAACTCCTAGTGGGGGAGGAGGATCAGAGATAACTCCTTGTGGGGAAGGGGTCAGACATAACTCCTAGTGGGGAGGAGGATCAGACATAACTCCTTCTGGGGGAGGGGCAGACATAACTCCTAGTGGGGGAGGAGGATCAGATATAACTCCTTGTGAGGGAGGCGTCAGACATAACTCCAAGTGGGGGAGGGGGTAAGACAACTAGTGGGGGAGGGATCAGAGATAACTCCTTCTGGGGAGGGGCAGACATAACTCCTAGTGGGGGAGGAGGATCAGACATAACTCCTTGTGAGGGAGGAGGATCAGACATAACTCCTAGTGGGGAGGAGGATCAGACATAACTCCTAGTGGGGGAGGAGGATCAGACATAACTCCTTGTGGGGGAGGAGGATCAGAGATAACTCCTAGTGGGGGAGGAGGATCAGACATAACTCCTTGTGGGGGAGCAGGATCAGACATAACTCCTTGTGGGGGAGCAGGATCAGATATAACTCCTTGTGGGGGAGCAGGATCAGACATAACTCCTTGTGTGGGGAGGGGGTCAGACATAACTCCTTGTGGGGAGGAGGATCAGAGATAACTCCTTGTGGGAGAGGAGGATCAGACATAACTCCTTGTGGGGGAGGAGGATCAGACATAACTCCTTGTGGGGGAGGGGGTAAGACATAACTCCTTGTGGGGGAGGAGGATCAGACATAACTCCTTGTGGGGGAGGAGGATCAGACATAACTCCTAGTGGGGGAGGAGGATCAGACATAACTCCTTGTCGGGGAGGAGGATCAGACATAACTCCTTGTGGGGGAGCAGGATCAGACATAACTCCTTGTGGGGGAGGAGGATCAGACATAACTCCTTGTGGGAGAGGAGGATCAGAGATAACTCATTGTGAGGGAGGGGGATCAGATATAACTCCTAGTGGAGGAGGGGGTCAGACAACTAGTGGGGCAGGGGATCAGAGGTAACTCCTTGTGGGGAGGGGGTCAGACATAACTAATAGTTGGGGAGGGGGATCAGACATAACTAATTGTTGGGGACGGGGGATCAGCAATAACTCTTAGTGGGGAGGGGGTCAGACATAACTCCTAGTGGAGGAGGGGGTCAGTCAACTCCTAGTGGGGGAGGGATCAGAGATAACTCCTTGTGGGGGAGGGGATCGAAATAACTCCTAGTGGGGGAGGGGGCAGACATAACTCCTAGTAGGGGAGGGGGATCCGACATAACTCTAGGTGGGGGATCAGAGATAACTCCTGGAGGGGGATCAGACATAACTCTAGGTGGGGGATCAGACATAACTCCTTTACAGCAAATTATGCACTGGTAGACCAACTGTAGGCATTGCACTGCCTTCCTCAGCAAGAGAGACTTATCTGAACACATGCACATGAAATTTGAAAACAATATTGGCATATATTTCACAAGTCATGGTGGGATCTCCATGGTGCCCAGATACAACTGTGTGAGAAGCACAGGATACAGCAAGCTCCTTTCAGGGTTAAGTTACTGTGAGGAGTTAGCAGCAACTGAAGTCCCACAGTTTCACTGTCTTGTCATAGGACCCTGACACAATGATGAAATCATTAAACTGCAGACAGGTTACTCCATCCTTGTGGTTCTGTAGGGTCACCAGTCGCTGGCCAGTCTCCAGATTCCACACCTGACAACAACACAATACACATATTATTCAACAAAAACCAAAAGGTAGTTCAACATAAAAAACACATAGTTCAACATAATCAAAATATGGTCATGTCTACACCCACCATGATGGTCATGTCTACATACTGTGTTTGTCTACCCCCACCTTGATGGTCATGTCTACATGCTGTGTCTGTCCACCCCCACCTTGATTGTCATGTCTACATATTGTGTCTGTCTACCCCCACCTTGATGGTCATGTCTACATATTGTGTCTGTCCACCCCCACCTTGATGGTCATGTCTACATACTGTGTCTGTCTACCCCCACCTTGATGGTCATGTCTACATATTGTGTCTGTCCACCCCCACCTTGATGGTCATGTCTACATATTGTGTCTGTCTACCCCCACCTTGATGGTCATGTCTACATATTGTGTCTGTCCACCCCCACCTTGATTGTCATGTGTACATATTGTGTCTGTCCACCCCCACCTTGATGGTCATGTCTACATATTGTGTCTGTCCACCCCCACCTTGATGGTCATGTCTACATATTGTGTCTGTCCACCCCCACCTTGATGGTCATGTCTACATATTGTGTCTGTCCACCCCCACCATGATGGTCATGTCTACATACTGTGTCTGTCCACCCCCACCTTGATGGTCATGTCTACATACTGTGTCTGTCTACCCCCACCATGATGGTCATGTCTAAATACTGTGTCTGTCAACCCCCACCATGATGGTCATGTCTACATATTGTATCTGTCTACCCCCACCTTGATGGTCATGTCTACATACTGTGTCTGTCCACCCCCACCTTGATGGTCATGTCTACATGCTGTGTCTGTCCACCCCCACCTTGATTGTCATGTCTACATATTGTGTCTGTCTACCCCCACCTTGATGGTCATGTCTACATATTGTGTCTGTCCACCCCCACCTTGATTGTCATGTCTACATACTGTGTCTGTCTACCCCCACCTTGATGGTCATGTGTACATATTGTGTCTGTCCACCCCCACCTTGATGGTCATGTGTACATATTGTGTCTGTCTACCCCCACCTTGATGGTCATGTGTACATATTGTGTCTGTCTACCCCCACCTTGATGGTCATGTGTACATATTGTGTCTGTCTACCCCCACCTTGATGGTCATGTCTACATATTGTGTCTGTCTACCCCCACCTTGATGGTCATGTGTACATATTGTGTCTGTCTACCCCCACCTTGATTGTCATGTCTACATACTGTGTCTGTCTACCCCCACCTTGATGGTCATGTGTACATATTGTGTCTGTCTACCCCCACCTTGATTGTCATGTCTACATACTGTGTCTGTCTACCCCCACCTTGATGGTCATGTCTACATATTGTGTCTGTCAACCCCCACCATGATGGTCATGTATACATACTGTGTCTGTCTACCCCCACCTTGATGGTCATGTCTACATATTGTGTCTGTCTACCCCACCTTGATGGTCATGTCTACATATTGTGTCTATCTACCCCCACCATGACGGTCATGTCTACATATTGTGTCTGTCTACCCCCACCTTGATGGTCATGTCTACATAATGTGTCTATCTACCCCCACAATGAGGGTTATATCTACATACTGTGTCTGTCTACCCCCACCATGAGGGTCATGTCTAAATACTGTGTCTGTCTACCCCCACCATGATGGTCATGTCTACATACTGTGTCTGTCTACCCCCACCTTGATGGTCATGTCTAAATACTGTGTCTGTCAACCCCCACCATGATGGTCATGTCTACATACTGTGTCTGTCCACCCCCACCTTGATGGTCATGTCTACATATTGTGTCTGTCCACCCCCACCTTGATGGTCATGTCTACATATTGTGTCTGTCCACCCCCACCTTGATGGTCATGTCTACATACTGTGTCTGTCCACCCCCACCTTGATGGTCATGTCTACATATTGTGTCTGTCCACCCCCACCTTGATGGTCATGTCTACATATTGTGTCTGTCACCCCCACCTTGATGGTCATGTCTACATATTGTGTCTGTCCACCCCCCCACCATGATGGTCATGTCTACATACTGTGTCTGTCCACCCCACCTTGATGGTCATGTCTACATACTGTGTCTGTCTACCCCCACCTTGATGGTCATGTCTAAATACTGTGTCTGTCAACCCCCACCATGATGGTCATGTCTACATATTGTATCTGTCTACCCCCACCTTGATGGTCATGTCTACATACTGTGTCTGTCCACCCCCACCTTGATGGTCATGTCTACATATTGTGTCTGTCTACCCCCACCATGATGGTCATGTCTACATACTGTGTCTGTCCACCCCCACCTTGATGGTCAGGTCTAAATACTGTGTCTGTCAACCCCCACCATGATGGTCATGTCTACATATTGTGTCTGTCCACCCCCACCATGATGGTCATGTCTACATACTGTGTCTGTCTACCCCCACCATGATGGTCATGTCTACATACTGTGTCTGTCCACCCCCACCTTGATGGTCATGTGTACATATTGTGTCTGTCTACCCCCACCTTGATGGTCATGTCTACATACTGTGTCTGTCTACCCCCACCTTGATGGTCATGTCTACATATTGTGTCTGTCCACCCCCACCTTGATGGTCATGTGTACATATTGTGTCTATCTACCCCCACCATGATGGTCATGTCTACATATTGTGTCTGTCCACCCCCACCTTGATGGTCATGTCTACATATTGTGTCTATCTACCCCCACCATGATGGTCATGTCTACATACTGTGTCTGTCCACCCCCACCTTGATGGTCATGTCTACATATTGTGTCTGTCCACCCCCACCTTGATGGTCATGTCTACATATTGTGTCTGTCCACCCCCACCATGATGGTCATGTCTACATACTGTGTCTGTCCACCCCCACCTTGATGGTCATGTCTACATACTGTGTCTGTCTACCCCCACCTTGATGGTCATGTCTAAATACTGTGTCTGTCAACCCCCACCATGATGGTCATGTCTACATTTTGCATCTGTCTGACCTCACCTTGATGGTCTTATCATCTGCTGCACTGACTAGACGCCAACTGTCCGCTTGAAGACATCTGGAAGTCAACATGGAGTCCAAAATCAAATAAGGAACAAACACACCAGTATTCATTTTTCTCTGAGTAGGTTTCACAGAGTCAAGGTTGAGTAACACTTAACAGTAATATAGAGGAATTCTGAAGTAGTCCAACCTGACAACTCCTGTGTGGCCTTCTGCTGCCTTCCAGTCTATGGTATTGATGCACTCCCCACTGTGGATGTCCCAGAACTTCAGGTTACAGTCCAGGGAGCCACTGACGATACGGGTGGCATCAAACTGCAGACATGTGACAGCGTCTTGGTGGCCAGACAGCGTTATCATGCACACCCCTTGGTAGTTCCACACCTGCACACAAATATGGTCAGTATTACAATAACCGTCCACACCTGCACACAAAGAGGGTTGGTATCACAATAACCGTCCACACCTGCTCACAAAGAGGGTTAGTATTACAATAACCGTCCACATCTGCACACAAAGAGGGTTGGTATTACAATAACCGTCCACACCTGCACACAAAGAGGGTTGGTATTACAATAACCGTCCACACCTGCACACAAAGAGGGTTGGTATTACAATAACTGTCAACACCTGCACACAAAGAGGGTTGGTATTACAATAACCGTCCACAGCTCCTCACAAAGAGGGTTGGTATTACAATAACCGTCCACACCTGCACACAAAGAGGGTTGGTATTACAATAACCGTCAACACCTGCACACAAAGGGGGTACCTGCACACAAAGAGGGTTGGTATCACAATAACCGTCCACACCTGCACACAAAGAGGGTTGGTATTACAATTACCATCCACACCTGCACACAAAGGTGGTTGGTTTTACAATAACCATCCACACCTCCTCACAAAGAGGGTTGGTATTACAATAACTGTCCACACCTGCTCACAAAGAGGGTTGGTATTACAATAACTGTCCACACCTGCACACAAAAAGGGTTGGTATTACATTAACCGTCCACACCTGCACACAAAGAGGGTTGGTATTACAATAACCGTCCACACCTGCTCACAAACAGGGTCGGTATTACAATAACCGTCCACACCTGCACACAAAGAGGGTTGGTATTAAAATAACCGTCCACACCTGCACACAAATATGGTCAGTATTACAACAACCGTCCACACCTGAACACAAAGTATATAGTGATTGTCTAGGCATTCTACATTGTTGCAGCATACTTGGAAACCATGGTAACATACTGTATACAGGATATGGAAAAGATGTCTACCTTGATGGTGTTATCACAGGATCCTGACACAATCTTGCTCTCGTTGAAGTGAACACATAATACTGCTGCATTGTGACCTCTGGAACAGACACAATGATGGAGTAAGTGACATGTAGGATGGACATGACAACATGTAGGATGAACATGACAACATATAGGATGAACATGACAACATATAGGACAAACGTGACAACATAAAGGTTGGACATGGCAACATGTAGGACAAACATGAAGGTTGGACATGGCAACATGTAGGACAAACATGACAACATGAAGGTTGAACATGGCAACATGTAGGACAAACATGAAGGTTGGACATGGCAACATGTAGGACAAACATGACAACATGAAGGTTGGACATGGCAACATGTAGGACAAACATGACAACATGAAAGTTGAACTTTGCAACATGTAGGATAAACATGACAACATGAAGGTTGGACATGGCAACATGTAGGACCAACATGACAACATGAAGGTTGAACATGGCAACATGTAGGATAAACATGACAACATGAAGGTTGAACATGGCAACATGTAGGACAAACATGACAACAATGAAGGTTGAACATGGCAACATGTAGGACAAACATGAAGGTTGAACATGGCAACATGTAGGACAAACATGAAGGTTGAACATGGCAACACATAGCACAAACATGACAGCATGAAGGTTGGACATGACAACATGTAGGACAAACATGACAACATGAAGGTTGGACATGGCAACATGTAGGACAAACATGAAGGTTGAACATGGCAACAAATAGCACAAACATGACAACATGAAGGTTGGACATGACAACATGTAGAACAAACATGACAACATGAAGGTTGGACATGACAACATGTAGGATGAATGTGGCAATATGTAGTATGAACATGGCAACATGTAGCATGGACATGACAACATGTAGGATGGACATGACAACATGGCGGACAAACATGACAACATGAAGGTTGGACATGACAACATGTAGGATGAACATGGCAACATGTAGGATGACAACGTGTAGGACGAACATGACAACATGTAGGATGGACATGACAACATGTAGGATGGACATGCCAACATTAAGGATGGACATGACAACATGTAGGATGAACATGGCAATATGAAGGACAAACATGACAACATGTAGTATAAACATGACAACATGTAGGATGAACATGGCAACATGTAGGATGACAACATGTAGGATGAACATGACAACATGTAGGATGGACATGACAACATGAAGGTTGGACATGGCAACATGTAGGATGACAACATGTAGGATGGACATGACAACATGTAGGATGGACATGACAACATGAAGGATGAACATGGCAATATGTAGGATGACAACATGTAGGATGAACATGACAACATGTAGGATGGACATGACAACATGTAGGATGGACATGACAACATGAAGGATGAACATGGCAACATGTAGGATGACAACATGTAGGATGGACATGACAACATGTAGGATGGACATGGCAACATGTAGGATGACAACATGTAGGATGAACATGACAACATGTAGGATGGACATGACAATATAATAATAATAATAATGTGTCCATTTATATAGCGCCAAACTCCACACTAGGTATGCTCATAGCGCTAACAATCAAGGCACAGTACATTATTACCCCGGATACCCCAAGCTGCCTGTTAGGCGCTAGAAGGTTATAGTCATATGACTTTTTCCACATGTAGGATGAACATGACAACATGTAGGATAAACATTACAATGTGTAGGATAAACATGACAACATGAAGGATGGACATGACAACATGTAGGATGGACATGACAACATGTAGGATGGACATGACAACATGTAGGATGGACATGGCAACATGTAGGACAAACATGACAATGTGTAGGATGGACATGACAACATGTAGGATGGACATGACAACATGTAGGATGGACATGACAACATGTAGGATGGACATGACAACATGAAGGACAAACATGACAATGTGTAGGATGGACATGGCAACATGTAGGATGGACATGGCAACATGTAGGACAAACATTACAATGTGTAGGATGGACATGACAACATGTAGGATGGACATGGCAACATGTAGGACAAACATTACAATGTGTAGGATGGACATGACAGCATGTAGGATGGACATGGCAACATGTAGGATGGACATGGCAACATGTAGGATGGACATGACAACATGTAGGATGGACATGACAACATGTAGGATGGACATGGCAACATGTAGGACAAACATTACAATGTGTAGGATGGACATGACAACATGTAGGATGGACATGACAAGATGTAGGATGGACATGACAACATGTAGGATGGACATGGCAACATGTAGGACAAACATGACAATGTGTAGGATGGACATGACAACATGTAGGATGGACATGGCAACATGTAGGATGGACATGGCAACATGTAGGATGGACATGACAACATGTAGGATGGACATGGCAACATGTAGGATGGACATGACAACATGTAGGATGGACATAACAACATGTAGGATGGACATGGCAACATGTAGGACAAACATGACAATGTGTAGGATGGACATGACAACATGTAGGATGGACATGACAACATTAACACGAACATGACAACATGTAGGATGGACATGACAACACACTGAGGGGGGCAGATATTGCTGGGGATGTGGGTGGAGGATGAAGTGATGATGTTTCTGAGTGACTCCTTACCGTAATGTTCTCCTACAGCTGCCTGTCTTCAGGTCCCACACTTTCAGTGTCTTGTCATATGAGCCACTGATCACCTTGTCATCATCCACCTGTGGAAGAAGTTAAATCTCCATGCCTCATCTGTCAAGCTCATCAGTGTCCTAACACACAAGGTAGCAAGCTCAAGTGCAAATCGTGAGAGAGTGAATTAGGTTAGTATTACGCCACACTCAGCAATATTCCAGCTACATGGCGGCGGTCTGTAAATAATGAGTCTGGACCAGACAATCAGGTGATCAACAACATGAGCATCAATCTGTGCAATTGTGAACCGATGACATGAGTCAACCAAGTCAGCGAGCCTGACCACCCGTTCCCATAAGTCACCTCTTACAACAAGCATAGGTTACTGAAGACCTAACCTGGACCTTCACAGGTACATGAAAATCATGAAAAATATGAATGCCAAAAGTCAGTAAATAACAAAAAAAGTTCCATTTGGTATGGTATCTAGTAGCAAATGAGCTGGCCTTACTGGCAGCCACAATCAGCTGGCCTTACCGGCAGCCACAATCAGCTGGCCTTACTGGCAGCCACAATCAGCTGGCCTTACCGGCAGCCACAATCAGCTGGCCTTACTGGCAGCCACAATCAGCTGGCCTTACCGGCAGCCACAATCAGCTGGCCTTACCGGCAGCCACAATCAGCTGGCCTTACTGGCAGCCACAATCAGCTGGCCTTACCGGCAGCCACAATCAGCTGGCCTTACTGGCAGCCACAATCAGCTGGCCTTACCGGCAGCCACAATCAGCTGGCCTTACTGGCAGCCACAATCAGCTGGCCTTACTGGCAGCCACAATCAGCTGGCCTTACCGGCAGCCACAATCAGCTGGCCTTACTGGCAGCCACAATCAGCTGGCCTTTACTGGCAGCCACAATCAGCTGGCCTTACCGGCAGCCACAATCAGCTGGCCTTACCGGCAGCCACAATCAGCTGGCCTTACTGGCAGCCACAATCAGCTGGCCTTACCGGCAGCCACAATCAGCTGGCCTTACTGGCAGCCACAATCAGCTGGCCTTACCGGCAGCCACAATCAGCTGGCCTTACTGGCAGCCACAATCAGCTGGCCTTACTGGCAGCCACAATCAGCTGGCCTTACTGGCAGCCACAATCAGCTGGCCTTACTGGCAGCCACAATCAGCTGGCCTTACTGGCAGCCACAATCAGCTGGCCTTACCGGCAGCCACAATCAGCTGGCCTTACTGGCAGCCACAATCAGCTGGCCTTACCGGCAGCCACAATCAGCTGGCCTTACCGGCAGCCACAATCAGCTGGCCTTACCGGCAGCCACAATCAGCTGGCCTTACCGGCAGCCACAATCAGCTGGCCTTACCGGCAGCCACAATCAGCTGGCCTTACCGGCAGCCACAATCAGCTGGCCTTACCGGCAGCCACAATCAGCTGGCCTTACCGGCAGCCACAATCAGCTGGCCTTACCGGCAGCCACAATCAGCTGGCCTTACCGGCAGCCACAATCAGCTGGCCTTACTGGCAGCCACAATCAGCTGGCCTTACCGGCAGCCACAATCAGCTGGGCACTGGCCACAATCAGCTGGCCTTACTGGCAGCCACAATCAGCTGGCCTTACTGGCAGCCACAATCAGCTGGCCTTACTGGCAGCCACAATCAGCTGGCCTTACTGGCAGCCACAATCACTGGCTGGCCTTACTGGCAGCCACAATCAGCTGGCCTTACTGGCAGCCACAATCAGCTGGCCTTACTGGCAGCCACAATCAGCTGGCCTTACTGGCAGCCACAATCAGCTGGCCTTACTGGCAGCCACAATCAGCTGGCCTTACCGGCAGCCACAATCAGCTGGCCTTACCGGCAGCCACAATCAGCTGGCCTTTACCGGCAGCCACAATCAGCTGGCCTTTACCGGCAGCCACAATCAGCTGGCCTTACTGGCAGCCACAATCAGCTGGCCCTACTGGCAGCCACAATCAGCTGGCCTTACCGGCAGCCACAATCAGCTGGCCTTACCGGCAGCCACAATCAGCTGGCCTTACCGGCAGCCACAATCAGCTGGCCTTACCGGCAGCCACAATCAGCTGGCCTTACTGGCAGCCACAATCAGCTGGCCCTACTGGCAGCCACAATCAGCTGGCCTTTACCGGCAGCCACAATCAGCTGGCCTTACCGGCAGCCACAATCAGCTGGCCTTACCGGCAGCCACAATCAGCTGGCCTTACCGGCAGCAACAATCAGCTGGCCTTACCGGCAGCCACAATGAGCTGGCTTTACCGGCAGCCACAATGAGCTGGCTTTACTGGCAGCCACAATCAGCTGGCCTTACCGGCAGCCACAATCAGCTGGCCTTACTGGCAGCCACAATCAGCTGGCTTTACCGGCAGCCACAATGAGCTGGCCTTACCGGCAGCCACAATCAGCTGGCCTTACCGGCAGCCACAATCAGCTGGCTTTACCGGCAGCCACAATCAGCTGGCTTTACTGGCAGCCACAATCAGCTGGCCTTACCGGCAGCCACAATCAGCTGGCCTTACTGGCAGCCACAATCAGCTGGCTTTACCGGCAGCCACAATCAGCTGGCCTTACCGGCAGCCACAATCAGCTGGCCTTACCGGCAGCCACAATCAGCTGGCCTTACCGGCAGCAACAATCAGCTGGCCTTACCGGCAGCCACAATGAGCTGGCTTTACCGGCAGCCACAATGAGCTGGCCTTACTGGCAGCCACAATCAGCTGGCTTTACTGGCAGTAACTACATGCTGGGTCAGTAGGGCAGTACCAAACACAGTTTGACCTTCTTGCATGTCTCAACTTTTGCAGTACTCTGGATAGTTTGTGGTAGTACAGGAGGGGGGGGGAGGGGGGGATTCTCTCTGTACTTAGTGAACCCTGGCCTATGGATTTGTGTTTGGTGACTGGAAGCTAGTGGCGTGTAGCAAGTGTGGATGTCAGGGACATCCATCTGTTGATACACTGACTGAAATGGGACTGCTTCCAAGTTGACATTTTGTTGGTGTGGACACAGCACTGGTGACTACATTTGTAAAGCACTGGATGTGGCAAGTCCTTGTCTCCTATGGCAACAGTCCAGCAGTAGCACAGAAAAGTTAAGCTGATGACATGAGTTTGTCTTCTCAATGAAGCTGTCAATGGGGTGTCCTCTGTCGACAGCTGCACACAGAGCTACGACCAAATTTAATTGCTGTATTGTAAGTAATCCTGTCAGCATGATGAATCAATGAAGATTGACAGTTTATCCATGTAGTGTCAGGAAAGTCAAGTAATCCTATCAGCATGATGAACCAATGAAGATTGACAGTTTATCCATGTAGTGTCAGGTAAGTCAAGCGACCAAAACCAACACACTATTCTAAGTTTGTTTCAGTAACCATCTGAACTCTTCACTTCGATAAACATAACGTAAGGTTTTCCAGCACATTACCTGAAGGCATCTGACTGTGTCTGTGTGTCCAATCATGGTCACTTTACAGGCAATACTTGACCAGGAATCTCTTGTGGACAAGTCCCAAACCTGTGAAAAACAACAGACTTAATTGAAAGCACACACCTGTAGTTTTGGTGGGTCTGGTGATGATCATGTGTAGGGTTGGTGCTTGTGGGGGCGTGTTGGCATGGGTTGGTATGGGTGGAGGCATTGGCGTGTACATACACTGTGTTCAAGCCTGGAGTGTACAGTTTACTACTAGATACCACTGTGTTCAAGCCTGGAGAGTACAGTTTACTACTAGATACCACTATGTTCAAACCTGGAGTGTACAGTTTGCTACTAGATACCACTATGTTCAAGCCTGGAGGGTACAGTATGCTACTAGATACCACTGTGTTCAAGCCTGGAGTGTACAGTTTGCTACTAGATACCACTATGTTCAAGCCTGGAGTGTACAGTTTACTACTAGATACCACTGTGTTCAAGCCTGGAGGGTACAGTTTGCTACTAGATACCACTATGTTCAAGCCTGGAGGGTACAGTATGCTACTAGGTACCACTGTGTTCAAGCCTGGAGTGTACAGTTTGCTACTAGATACCACTATGTTCAAGCCTGGAGTGTACAGTTTACTACTAGATACCACTATGTTCAAGCCTGGAGGGTACAGTATGCTACTAGATACCACTGTGTTCAAGCCTGGAGGGTACAGTTTGCTACTAGATACCACTGTGTTCAAGCCTGGAGGGTACAGTTTACTACTAGATACCACTATGTTCAAGCCTGGAGGGTACAGTTTACTACTAGATACCACTATGTTCAAGCCTGGAGGGTACAGTTTACTACTAGATACCACTATGTTCAAGCCTGGAGTGTACAGTATGCTACTAGATACCACTGTGTTCAAGCCTGGAGGGTACAGTTTGCTACTAGATACCACTATGTTCAAGCCTGGAGAGTACAGTTTACTACTAGATACCACTATGTTCAAGCCTGGAGTGTCCAGTTTGCTACTAGATACCACTGTGTTCAAGCCTGGAGGGTACAGTTTACTACTAGATACCACTAACTTCAAGCCTGAAGGGTACAGTTTGCTACTAGATACCACTGTGCTCAAGCCTGGAGGGTACAGTTCGCTACTAGATACCACTATGTTCAAGCCTGGAGGGTACAGTTTACTACTAGATACCACTGTGTTCAAGCCTGGAGGGTACAGTTTGCTACTAGATACCACTATGTTCAAGCCTGGAGGGTACAGTTTACTACTAGACACCACTATGTTCAAGAGTACAGTTTACTACTAGATACCACTGTGTTCAAGCCTGGAGTGTACAGTTTGCTACTAGATACCACTATGTTCAAGCCTGGAGGGTACAGTTTCCTACTAGATACCACTATGTTCAAGCCTGGAGTGTATAGTTTACTACTAGATACCACTGTGTTCAAGCCTGGAGTGTACAGTTTGCTACTAGATACCACTATATTCAAGCCTGCAGGATACAGTTTACTACTAAATACCACTATGTTCAAGAGTACAGTTTACTACTAGATACCACTATGTTCAAGCCTGGAGAGTACAGTTTACTACTAGATACCACTATGTTCAAGCCTGGAGTGTACAGTATGCTACTAGATACCACTATGTTCAAGCCTGGAGGGTACAGTTTGCTACTAGATACCACTGTGTTCAAGCCTGGAGGGTACAGTTTACTACTAGATACCACTATGTTCAAGCCTGGAGGGTACAGTTTACTACTAGATACCACTATGTTCAAGCCTGGAGGGTACAGTTTACTACTAGATACCACTATGTTCAAGCCTGGAGTGTACAGTATGCTACTAGATACCACTGTGTTCAAGCCTGGAGGGTACAGTTTGCTACTAGATACCACTATGTTCAAGCCTGGAGAGTACAGTTTACTACTAGATACCACTATGTTCAAGCCTGGAGGGTACAGTTTGCTACTAGATACCACTGTGTTCAAGCCTGGAGGGTACAGTTTACTACTAGATACCACTATCTTCAAGCCTGAAGGGTACAGTTTGCTACTAGATACCACTGTGCTCAAGCCTGGAGGGTACAGTTAGCTACTAGATACCACTATGTTCAAGCCTGGAGGGTACAGTTTACTACTAGATACCACTGTGTTCAAGCCTGGAGGGTACAGTTTGCTACTAGATACCACTATGTTCAAGCCTGGAGGGTACAGTTTACTACTAGACACCACTATGTTCAAGAGTACAGTTTACTACTAGATACCACTGTGTTCAAGCCTGGAGTGTACAGTTTGCTACTAGATACCACTATGTTCAAGCCTGGAGGGTACAGTTTCCTACTAGATACCACTATGTTCAAGCCTGGAGTGTATAGTTTACTACTAGATACCACTGTGTTCAAGCCTGGAGTGTACAGTTTGCTACTAGATACCACTATATTCAAGCCTGCAGGATACAGTTTACTACTAAATACCACTATGTTCAAGAGTACAGTTTACTACTAGATACCACTATGTTCAAGCCTGGAGAGTACAGTTTACTACTAGATACCACTATGTTCAAGCCTGGAGTGTACAGTATGCTACTAGATACCACTATGTTCAAGCCTGGAGGGTACAGTTTACTACTAGATACCACTATGTTCAAGCCTGGAGTGTACAGTATGCTACTAGATACCACTATGTTCAAGCCTGGAGGGTACAGTTTACTCCTAGATACCACTATCTTCAAGTATGGAGGGTATAGTTTACTACTAGATACCACTGTGTTCAAGCCTGGAGGGTACAGTTTGCCACTAGATACCACTATGTTCAAGCCTGGAGGGTACAGTTTGCTACTAGATACCACTATGTTCAAGAGTACAGTTTACTACTAGATACCACTGTGTTCAAGCCTGGAGTGTACAGTTTGCTACTAGATACCACTATGTTCAAGCCTGGAGGGTACAGTTTACTACTAGATACCACTATGTTCAAGCCTGGAGTGTACAGTATGCTACTAGATACCACTATGTTCAAGCCTGGAGGGTACAGTTTACTCCTAGATACCACTATCTTCAAGTATGGAGGGTATAGTTTACTACTAGATACCACTGTGTTCAAGCCTGGAGGGTACAGTTTGCCACTAGATACCACTATGTTCAAGCCTGGAGGGTACAGTTTGCTACTAGATACCACTATGTTCAAGAGTACAGTTTACTACTAGATACCACTGTGTTCAAGCCTGGAGTGTACAGTTTGCTACTAGATACCACTATGTTCAAGCCTGGAGGGTACAGTTTACTACTAGATACCACTATGTTCAAGCCTGGAGTGTATAGTTTACTACTAGATACCACTGTGTTCAAGCCTGGAGTGTACAGTTTGCTACTAGATACCACTATGTTCAAGCCTGCAGGATACAGTTTACTACTAGATACCACTATGTTCAAGAGTACAGTTTACTACTAGATACCACTATGTTCAAGCCTGGAGAGTACAGTTTACTACTAGATACCACTATGTTCAAGCCTGGAGTGTACAGTTTACTACTAGATACCACTATGTTCAAGCCTGGAGTGTACAGTATGCTACTAGATACCACTATGTTCAAACCTGGAGTGTACAGTTTGCTACTAGATACCACTGTGTTCAAGCCTGGAGTGTACAGTTTGCTACTAGATACCACTATGTTCAAGCCTGGAGTGTACAGTTTACTACTAGATACCACTATGTTCAAGCCTGGAGTGTACAGTTTACTACTAGATACCACTGTGTTCAAGCCTGGAGGGTACAGTTTACTACTAGATACCACTGTGTTCAAGCCTGGAGTGTACAGTATGCTACTAGATACCACTATGTTCAAGCCTGGAGTGTACAGTATGCTACTAGATACCACTATGTTCAGGCCTGGAGGGTACAGTTTACTACTAGATACCACTATGTTCAAGCCTGGAGTGTACAGTATGCTACTAGATACCACTATGTTCAAGCCTGGAGGGTACAGTTTACTACTAGATACCACTATGTTCAAGCCTGGAGGGTACAGTTTACTACTAGATACCACTATGTTCAAGCCTGGAGGGTACAGTTTGCTACTAGATACCACTATGTTCAAGCTTGGAGCGTACAGTTTGCTACTAGATACCACTGTGTTCAAGCCTGGAGGGTACAGTTTACTACTAGATACCACTGTGTTCAAACCTGGAGTGTACAGTATCCTACTAGATACCACTATGTTCAAGCCTGGAGTGTACAGTTTACTACTAGATACCACTGTGTTCAAGACTGGAGTGTACAGTTTGCTACTAGATACCACTATCTTCAAGCCTGGAGGGTACAGTTTGCTACTAGATACCACTATGTTCAAGCCTGGAGTGTACAGTTTACTACTAGATACCACTGTGTTCAAGCCTGGAGGGTACAGTTTGCTACTAGATACCACTATGTTCAAGCCTGGAGGGTACAGTTTATTACTAGATACCACTATGTTCAAGCCTGGAGGGTACAGTTTACTACTAGATACCACTGTGTTCAAGCCTGGAGGGTACAGTTTGCTACTAGATACCACTATGTTCAAGCCTGGAGGGTACAGTATGCTACTAGATACCACTATGTTCAAGCCTGGAGTGTACAGTTTACTACTAGATACCACTATGTTCAAGCCTGGAGGGTACAGTTTACTACTAGATACCACTATGTTCAAGCCTGGAGGGTACAGTTTACTACTAGATACCACTGTGTTCAAGCCTGGAGGGTACAGTTTGCTACTAGATACCACTATGTTCAAGCCTGGAGGGTACAGTTTGCTACTAGATACCACTATGTTCAAGCCTGGAGGGTACAGTTTACTCCTAGATACCACTATCTTCAAGTATGGAGGGTATAGTTTACTACTAGATACCACTGTGTTCAAGCCTGGAGGGTACAGTTTGCCACTAGATACCACTATGTTCAAGCCTGGAGGGTACAGTTTGCTACTAGATACCACTATGTTCAAGCCTGGAGAGTACAGTTTACTACTAGATACCACTATGTTCAAGCCTGGAGGGTACAGTTTGCTACTAGATACCACTATGTTCAAGCCTGGAGTGTACAGTTTACTACTAGATACCACTGTGTTCAAGCCTGGAGAGTACAGTTTACTACTAGATACCACTGTGTTCAAGCCTGGAGTGTACAGTTTACTACTAGATACCACTGTGTTCAAGCCTGGAGGGTACAGTTTACTACTAGATACCACTATGTTCAAGCCTGGAGTGTACAGTTTGCTACTAGATACCACTATGTTCAAGCCTGGAGGGTACAGTATGCTACTAGATACCACTGTGTTCAAGCCTGGAGGTTATAGTTTACTACTAGATACCACTATATTCAAGCCTGGAGGGTACAGTTTACTACTAGATACCACTATGTTCAAGCTTGGAGCGTACAGTTTACTACTAGATACCACTATGTTCAAGCCTGGAGGGTACAGTTTACTACTGGATACCACTATGTTCAAGCCTGGAGGGTATAGTTTACTACTAGATACCACTATGTTCAAGCCTGGAGGGTATAGTTTGCTACTAGATAACACTGTGTTCAAGCCTGGAGTGTACAGTTTACTACTAGATACCACTGTGTTCAAGCCTGGAGGGTACAGTTTGCTACTAGATACCACTATGTTCAAGCCTGGAGGGTACAGTTTGCTACTAGATACCACTATGTTCAAGCCTGGAGTGTACAGTAGGCTACTAGATACCACTATGTTCAAGCCTGGAGGGTACAGTTTACTACTAGATACCACTATGTTCAAGCCTGGAGGGTACAGTTTCCTACTAGATACCACTATGTTCAAGCCTGGAGGGTACAGTTTGCTACTAGATACCACTATGTTCAAGCCTGGAGAGTACAGTTTACTACTAGATACCACTATGTTCAAGCTTGGAGCGTACAGTTTGCTACTAGATACCACTGTGTTCAAGCCTGGAGGGTAAAGTTTACTACTAGATACCACTGTGTTCAAACCTGGAGTCTACAGTATCCTACTAGATACCACTATGTTCAAGCCTGGAGTGTACAGTTTACTACTAGATACCACTGTGTTCAAGACTGGAGTGTACAGTTTGCTACTAGATACCACTATCTTCAAGCCTGGAGAGTACATTTTGCTACTAGATACCACTATGTTCAAGCCTGGAGTGTACAGTTTACTACTAGATACCACTGTGTTCAAGCCTGGAGAGTACAGTTTACTACTAGATACCACTATGTTCAAGCCTGGAGGGTACAGTTTGCTACTAGATACCACTGTGTTCAAGCCTGGAGGGTACAGTTTACTACTAGATACCACTATGTTCAAGCCTGGAGTGTACAGTTTACTACTAGATACCACTGTGTTCAAGCCTGGAGGGTACAGTTTACTACTAGATACCACTATGTTCAAGCCTGGAGTGTACAGTTTGCTACTAGATACCACTATGTTCAAGCCTGGAGGGTACAGTATGCTACTAGATACCACTGTGTTCAAGCCTGGAGGTTATAGTTTACTACTAGATACCACTATATTCAAGCCTGGAGGGTACAGTTTACTACTAGATACCACTATGTTCAAGCTTGGAGCGTACAGTTTACTACTAGATACCACTATGTTCAAGCCTGGAGGGTACAGTTTACTACTAGATACCACTATGTTCAAGCCTGGAGGGTATAGTTTACTACTAGATACCACTATGTTCAAGCCTGGAGGGTATAGTTTGCTACTAGATAACACTGTGTTCAAGCCTGGAGTGTACAGTTTACTACTAGATACCACTATGTTCAAGCCTGGAGGGTACAGTTTACTACTAGATACCGCTATGTTCAAGCCTGGAGTGTACAGTTTACTACTAGATACCACTATGTTCAAGCCTGGAGGGTACAGTTTGCTACTAGATACCACTGTGTTCAAGCCTGGAGGGTATAGTTTACTACTAGATACCACTATGTTCAAGCCTGGAGGGTATAGTTTACTACTAGATACCACTGTGTTCAAGCCTGGAGGGTATAGTTTGCTACTAGATACCACTGTGTTCAAGCCTGGAGGGTACAGTTTGCTACTAGATACCACTGTGTTCAAGCCTGGAGGGTATAGTTTACTACTAGATACCACTATGTTCAAGCCTGGAGGGTACAGTTTGCTACTAGATACCACTGTGTTCAAGCCTGGAGGGTATAGTTTACTACTAGATACCACTATGTTCAAGCCTGGAGGGTATAGTTTACTACTAGATACCACTGTGTTCAAGCCTGGAGGGTATAGTTTGCTACTAGATACCACTGTGTTCAAGCCTGGAGGGTACAGTTTGCTACTAGATACCACTGTGTTCAAGCCTGGAGGGTATAGTTTACTACTAGATACCACTATGTTCAAGCCTGGAGGGTATAGTTTACTACTAGATACCACTGTGTTCAAGCCTGGAGAGTATAATTTGCCACTATGTACATGCCACCAGATTGTTAAGACAGCCACATTCCTACCTTGATAGTTTTGTCACTGGACCCGCTGACGAGTCTGCTTCCCTCCAAGTGGAGACATCGTACTGTCCCACTGTGGCCTACCAGCGTCTGTACTGACCAGGGGGCATTGGTGCGAATATTCCATACCTGTACATGCACAGCAACAAAGGTTAGTCTACAACTGTAACATCACACAGTTTCTTCCTGTGGTTCACACATCTAACAGTAGTCTGATACCAGAGTCTAAAACAAATACCTTTTCATGACAAACTGTAAAAATGTGAATACGCAATGCCTTTAGAAAGGGGTCAACTGTAACGGTTCAAGGCCGGGAAGGCTAAAATCATGATGCTTCTCGGTTACAAAGAAGACAGGATTATGTGGACACATCTTTAATCTGGGCACATATAAGAATATAAATATGTAATTTTCTGAATAAAATTGATATTTTATACTTATCCTGACTCATGCTCTTTTGCTTGTCTTCTTCTTCTTGCGAACACAGTGGAACACTTGTATCTCCCAATTGAAGCTCCCTTCAATGTAAAATCACTAATTAGTACTCACCAAGAGTTATCTCTATCCCACTCCTTTGCGCGGAAACGAGGGCGCCACTTCCCGCCACATGCCTCACTCTCTCCTTATATAGCGAGCCCAACACTTGAATTTTCAGGGAAATCCAAAGTGTTATGTGGGGAGGATGGGAGGGCTTACCTCATGAGTCAGGATAAGTTTAAAATATCATAACATACTTTTCCTTATCCTGACTCATGCTCTTTTGCTTGTAGAATCCTACGGATACGGAGGTGGGAATACAGAATACTTTGGATTAAGATAATTAGTGATTTGATAACTGTAATAACTGTAATAACCCCTATGGGAACTTCATAAAGGCACTGAATTGATAATTCCTGCTGTTAAACTTATCAGCTGCCATATATGGGTTACTACAATATATAGATATTATGATAAACAAAAAATAAAGTATTTACAACATGAATACTATGCTTAAGACTAAGATAGACTTAAGCTTGATAATATAATAGCATAAACTTCATAGAGTTGTTAGCTAATGATATTATTATGATATAATAAACATAGTACTGAGCTTAAGATTGTGGTTGAACTTAAGCTAAAATATATAATAGCATAAACTTCATGGAGTTATTAGCTATATAGTACTGTTATGAAATAAGCAGTAAAATCTCGTAAGATTGACTTATCTTCTCCGAGGGACTGTCAACTGCTGTGCGAGGACCATGGGACCGAAATGGTCAATACCTGAGACGTCCTCGGTGGTGATATCTCTCAGATAGTTGTTGGCAAACACCATATCGGATCTCCAGAAGCAGCCCTCCATGATGGTATTCAAAGAGCAGTTGCCATGTAGAGCAAGTGTTGAAGCTAGAGCTCTAATTTCATGTGGATTAGATGCTCTTGGAGGGTCGAGTCCTGCAGCCTTGTAGGCACGTAGTATGACAGTCCTGATCCATATCGAAATAGTTGTACGTGAGACTTCAGTCTGTGTAGCTGTCGATACAGGGATGAATAATTGTTTGAGTTTTTGTCGCCTCGGTTTGGAACGCCTTAGATATATTTTCAGTGCTCTGACAGGGCATAATGATAGAGAATTGATGAGAGAGCTGGGACGTTGAATAATCTGTCTGGTTGACCTGGTAACTGATTCTTGGCGATGAAATCCCAGCGTAGTCCCATATGCACGATGTAATGATTGTCATCAAAGCGTGTTCTCTCGTTATCGAGTGCGTGCATCTCTGACATCCTGGCTGCTGTTGCTAGGGATAACAGGAACAAAGTTTTCTGTGTCAGCGATTCGAATGATGTTGATTCCAGTGGTTCATATGCCTCACTTGTGAGGTGTTGGAGCACTACATTTAGATCCCATGCTGGAGCGCGAAACCTCTGTTTCTGATCCTCCAATCGGAATGCACGTAGTAAGGCGAGTAACTCTGGGGTCTTCGTCAACTTGACACCCGTTCTCATAGTTATGACGGAGCTTAAAGCTGCGAGATATGTTGATAATGTTGAGCCTTTTAGACGTTTAGTCTGTCGTAGGTAACATAAGTAGTCAGCCACTTGTGGATGTGTAGCATTTCTAGCTGTAAATCCTATCTTTGCAGCATAATTTTCAAAACTGTGCCACTTGTCATCGCATTACAAGTTCGCGAGAGTGGAGTTGCGTAATGCAAAGCGTGACTGCTTTTCGCCGCTCTGGCTGAATAACCTCTCTTGTTTAGACGCCTTAATACAGTCCATACGTGAAGTTGGAATGCTTCTGGCTTTCCGTCGCGCTTGTTTGGTGTGAGGATGTATTAGTAGATTCGAAAGCTTTGGAAGTTGTAGTATTGGTTGTCCGATTTCTTGAATAAGAGTTGGAAACCACGTTCTCGCTGGCCAGTAGAGCGCGACCAAAATCATTTGGAGGCTCGAGTTTGCTTGATTTTCTGTAACACCTGTGGGATTAGCGCTGGCGGCGGGAGCAGCGTTAGCGTTGAGTCCTTCCCACGATATGCTTAGTGCGTCCGTTGCCCATGCTAGTGGGTCTGGGACTGGTGATACGAATGTTGTCAGCTGATTGTTGAAGCGAGTGGCAAATAGGTCTATTAGTGGAGCTCCTATTTTCTTGATAATTTGTGCGAATATCTCTGTATGGAGCATCCATTCTGTCGGCGATGGTAGGTGTGGCCGAGAGAGAGCGTCTGCTATTACATTCTTTGCTCCTGGAATGTGACATGCTCTGGCATGTATGTTGAGATTGTCGATTAGATCGAACAATTGAAAACATAGAGTCAATAGGTTCGGGGACCTGGTTGAGCCTTGTCTGTGTGAATCATCAATTTGGCATTCTTTAGTAAGTTGCTCCAATGATGTATGGCGTTTACTACTGCTTGCATTTCTAGCAAGTTTATGTGTAGTTTGCTCTCTTGTTGGCTCCATAACCCTGATGCCGTCCTGTTGGCGAGGTGTGCTCCCCAACCTTGGAGCGACGCGTCTACATAGAGATGTGTTTTCAATTCCGGCTCTATTAAACAGATTCCATCGCAAACATTCGATCTCTTGGTCCACCATAGTAGGTGAGGTTTGACGTGATTCGGTAGACTGAATGGTTGAGGGTCGTCGAGATGACAGTTTATGAGGACCTGTAACGGACGTAACTGTAGTCTGCCTCTGACTGTCATGTCTTTTTTTCAGCTGACGTGAGTAGACCCAACAGGCTCTGCCAGTGTCGTAGTGGTAGCGGAGAGAGTAAGGCTTGAGGGATTATCTGTTGGATCTTGATCCATCGGTCCTCCGGTACAACAATACGATTCTGCGCCGTGAGAAATCGAATGCCTAGAAATAGCAGATCTTGCGTAGGTTCTAGGTCCGACTTGAGTAGATTTACTAACCATCCTAGCTGTGTTAGTAGCTTGATGATGAAGTTTAACTGTAGTCTGAGACGCTGTGGATCTGGATCCACTTGTATCCCGTCGTCGAGGTAGAATGCACTCGTAGTCCTTGACGATGTAGGTAAGAGACGATAGGTTTTCGTCACTCTTGTGAATAACCAGGGGCCGATGAGATTCGAAGGCAGTACTTTCCATTGGTAATGCAGCCCGTCTAGTGTAAACCGAAGGTATTTCCTGGAGTCGGGATGTATAGGGATGTGTAGATATGCGTCTTGCAGATCTATGCTGGCCATGTAGTCTCTAGGACGAATTAAGTGCCTTAGTTGTGGTAAGTGTATCATGCGAAACGCTGGCGGTTTGCGTAGATAGTCTCTGTTGAATGTGCTCATATTGTAGATGAGACGAAACTTTTCCTTGGAATTTTTCTTGGGCACTAGGAAAACTGGGGAGTAGAAGCCTGGTTCGATGTTTACTTGGTCCAGTACTTCTATGGCCTGCTTGGTTAGGAGCGTTGGTACCGCTTCTCTTAACTTTGGTAGTTGTAGAGCTTGGGAGTCGAACCTCGGAGGGATGACTGTCAGCGGAGGCGTGGCCTGTAGTTGTATTCGATATCCTAGCTGTAGGATGTTGGAGACATATGGATCCTCTAGGAATCCCCAGTTTTCCAAGTGCAGTTGGAGGCGTCCACCCACTTGTGATGGTTGTACTGGAACGGCTGGGGGTGGAAGACTCCAGTCGTTCCGAACCTGTCCTTCATCGTTTATAATTGCGGGAGCCTCTGGATGACCTGCCTCTTCCCGATGCTCCTCTGTAATTGCCGTATGGGCGGCGAAAAGACTCTTTCGCTCCTCTTACACTAGCCATCTTCCTGTCCCGTGCTCTCTGTAGACCGGAGAACTTTGATTTGCCTGAGTACCTCTGCGAAGTTTGTCTGATGACGCTTGCTAGCGTATCCATAGACTTTATCATAAGTACCTCTCTTGAGTCTTTAGAGACTTCTTTAGAGACTTTGTCTATGTTACCATCGAAGATGGACGGTGAAGACCACGGGGGTTGTGTAGAGTGGTGCAGTGAAGTGATCACCCCAGTTACAGGTGGCAAGGAGACCTTGACGACGAGCCATAGTAGTAGCTGCGGATAGTGCTGTTAAGTGATCCGTAAGGAACTGCTGGTCCTTCTTCTGCATGAGGAGGGCCGAGTAAATCATTCTATCATCCTCAGATGTAGAGTCTCTGAACTTCGTGAGGAGAGTTTCGTTGACTGTTCTTGAACTGTTCAGACTAAAAAACATCCTCCTTGATATGGTTTCCATCTGGGCTAGCTTGCGGTCATCTATTCTGTAAGTCTTGGACTTGGCACCGCTGATCATCTTATAGTTATCATCGATATCTTGTGCCTTGTAAAAAGAGTCCATGTTGTGACCTGCAAACTTGTTAGCATTGAAATGCGGCACATGAGGTGTCTGTAATTTCGTGGCTTTACTAAAGGCTGTATCCAGATTAGCTGGCACCGCTGCTATCGGGTCAATCGGGGGTAAGGTGATTGTGTCAGCATCGTCTTCCTTCATAAGATATGTGTGGGCTGAGTTCTCGTTCTTAGACGGGGAGGAAAGTTCCAGACTATTCACCATCCAATATCTTATTTCTGCGTCGGAGAATACGATACCATCTTCATCTTCAGACATCGGGTCACGGATAATGTGTTGATGCTCCTCGGATAGTGACTGAGGTGGAGTCC